AGGGATTGAATTATTATTATTTTAGAATTATTTTTGTTTGAGAATTTATAATGCATTTCTGCAAATAAAAACTAAGTATTGTTTAAAATCCATTAAATTCCAGTTAATGGCGAAAATGTATTTCTTAAAAACTATACACATTTCCCTACGACAGCGTCGGAGCTATTGAACAAACAGTAGATCAAACTGCATGCCCTTGTATCTGGCTGCATGCCGCGCTGTTGCCATATGCTATTATTGTTTCCTAAAAGGGTTGTTTTTCTTATTTTTTAATATTAAAAGTAAGAAAATTAACTAAATAAAATTATTTTTAACATATTATTAATTTTTTTGTTATTTTTAAAGTTTCAAACAAATAAAATTGAACTATTTATTAAATAATTATAATCGTTCTCTTCTGGCAACTATGGTTCGTAATTACGAATGGCTTGGTTTAAACCACGCCCAATTAAAGTTTGTTTCTTTTTCTCTGATCAGAATATAATTTGTCATCCTTGTCTCCAGCCTTACTTACTTGATTATATACAGTCTGTATAAATATAGGTTAAATTCGTTAAAACTCATGAATAAATTATGTCGGTAGAAACTGGGATTTTTGGTAAATCTGGCAACGTGCAGACTAACCGACGGCTATGGGACCGATGCAAGGGAATCCGACCCTTGCAGTGGCGCGCTATGAATTAGCTCGAGCAGGTGAGCAAAATTGGGTAATCAAATTTTCATGATTCGGTCTCAAAGGAACACCAAATACGTAGAGTAAAAATTTATAGAGATTAAAAGCCGCAATCCAATGGTTATTGCAATTTTTAATATCGAAACATCAAGTTCATATCTTTAACTGCATGTAGGGTATTCCCCCCCCTCATATATCTAAAACAGGTGCATTTGTAAAGGCATTAAAAGGGTCTTTAGAAAAGTTGTTGAAATACGTTCCCTATAGGGGAGGGTAAAAGCAATATACACAATGTACACAATGAACAGGTTAGGTCTTGTATGACCACCGAAATTTGGTAGCTTAATGGGTGTTCAATTAGTATTTTTGTCAATAAAAATTCAATTTTGTCTTTTTTTTTTTAACAATCGGGAATGGTTATACAAACAATGATTCATTGATAATCTCTTCATATACAGGGTGATTCAGATTCTTGGTCCATAAGAAGTTTCTGGGGAACGGAAAAAGATATCGATTTGAAATTTTAAAACCGTTTATAATCCAGTCTATTTTTCTAAAATATTTTCCGGTATTGTTAAATAGTATATTAAGTAGTTTATAAACAAGGTGCATACTATACTTTTTCTAGGACAAATACTCATTATTATCTTAAAATGATTTAAATCAAAAATTTGTACAGAGCCATCTATGAAATAATATGGGGAATCTGTGTGTCACCGTCAAATGTCACATTTTTAAATTTTATAAACACAGATTATAAAGGTTATAAATCGAAATGTATTTCTTGAAAATTGTCAGTTTTTCACAGTGAAAGTAAAGAAAATGTTTTATGAGAAGTTTACAGTGGAGTCCGTGCCCGAATTTAAGTTATAGTTTACTGCCGGCGAAATTAAAAGATCAGTACAATGTTCATATAAACATTTCAAATATTGGCGTTGAGAAACTATTTAATACTTTTGTATTTTTGTATTGAGATAATAAAATAATTTTCACATTTAGTATCATTTTACAAGAAAGTCTCTTTATTTTAAAGATTGTATGACATTTGACAACTGTCAACTAACTTAAAACTAACTTCAGCCCGTGACTAAAAACCTGTTGCTATTCAGCCAGTGACTAAAGCGCCGTAAAGCTTAGTGTCATGGAAACATGTACGATAAAGGGCGTTTTAAAGGTGGGAGTAGAAAAATACATTTATAACTGACTAAACCTTATTATTGACAAAAACTTGGTTTTGAAGAGAATTGCGGCAATATAAAACACAAAAATTGGGTTATGTTCGCAGTTTGCAATGTGTTTTGTTACAAGTACCTAAATTTGCATTAGAAGGTATATATATAGTATTATAATAATTATACTAATTATATTATAATTATAATAATTATATTATAGTTATAGGAATATAGGACCTGTTTCTAAAAGGCAATGCTCTTTTACCTATTCTTTTACAGGTACCAATAACATCTTTTGTATTTTCCTATAAAATGCCTATTAAACTTGTATTAGTGGCAAAAACTGTTAATAATATATATTATAATATTCAATTTGAAATAACCATGTTGCCCTTTTGTTCCCTCCATTTTATTTTCTTTTATGCTTAATAGTATATTTCTGGGCCCAAAAATGGAGTGTAAATTTCCTCTCAGAAAAAACCCCTTTACCTTGTTGAGCCCTTTACCCAAAACATACTATTTCTATTTAAAGAGGAAGCACACAATTTAAAAATTTAAAAACAGAAAATAAGTTGAATATGGTCTAAAGTTTTAAATTCTTCAAAAGTATTTAAAAAATAAGACAAACATTTTTAAAAAATAATTTTGGTTTTATTCAATGTTAGGGGTAATTATTTTACAAAGAAAGTTATAAATCAATTGATTTCAAGTATTCAGCTTTTAAATCAGACAAAAAACAGCAAAGATATTTGATATAATTAACATGGTAGTAATTTTATCTTTTTTATAGGTATTTTTACCTTTAATTTATTATTTACAAACAAAAATACTGTTTTTATCCATATTTTAAATCAGTCATTAACGACTGATATAAATTATATAAACCGATTTACATTTTAGATGATTTTTTTGGCCGAAAAACAAATCTAGTAAACCATGACTTATATTAGCGAAATTATTATACATGGTTAAAAGCAAATGTCACAAATGTAAAATAAATCTTGATGAAATCATGTATGTATTATGTCTAATTTAAAATGTCAATGTATAGAAATCGAATTTTTTTATGGAAAATATAAATGTTGAAAGATAATTACCCAATTTATTTTATAAAACAACAGTGTTGCCATGTCGTGCAAAAACCTATATCCACTGATATGCTAAATCAGTTGATATTTACATTTCAGTTTCTTTAGTGTAATCTCCATTAAGAAAACTTTTAAAACCCTCCCAGACAACACCAAACTTTTCCGTGACAGAATCTTCTAACATCGTAAAGCTTTCAATTAGTCACGTGTGAGACTAACGTCTAAGGTTTTATGTTGATTTATTTGGCAGCACGGAAGCTTGAGGCTTAAAAAAGGTTCCCCAATGGCGTCGCCTGATAAATAATGGTGCCATCATTCTGAACTTATCAGGTACCCTGGGGGAACTTAAGTGCTTTTATTATTCGTACACTTTAATCAGTTTTACACTGATTCTAAAGGTAGCTACACTCAGAAAAATGTACATGCACTGATAGTGAAACTAATTTTGTAATAATATTTAACTTTAATTTAAAATTGTAATGGCTATCAAAAATTTACCATCTAAGGTACCTTTTTTATTAAATTTTCAGTGTCTTATTGGGACAAAAACCTACGATTTGTCAAAATAATGAGATTATTTTTATTTACAGAATAAACTTTTTTTGCTGTTAATAAAATTCTCATTTACTATAATAAAGCAGCAATGTTGAGCTTTTATAAAAAAAATGTTCATCCAACAAAGTAATAGTTGTTATCATATTGTCATGGCAATAAGAAATACTTTATGTTTATATTAAATCTTAAAACTTAAAGTGTTTTTGTTAAATCTATAGTTGTGTGTGAATTGCGCGTACATAAAGTAATGCGCAGTTGTTATAGTAAAATTTGTTCATTTTAATATGGCATATTTGTCTTTTTTAAATTACTATCGTTGTAATTCAAATTAATTTTATTTCAGTTAGAAAATCTTCGTTAATAGCTTACGTTAAGAACAATAACAAAAATATTTTATTGCTATAAAAAGACTTTTTTAATATTTACTATTATTTTAAAATTGCAATGTTATCGAATTTTTTGTTATTTCCCTTAAAAAGAGGGGGAAAGGGCCAGCGCCACAGTCTGTGTTATAATCTTATTGATTTCACTTGTGCGAGTGAAGTGTGGTAAAATCTAGCATGATAAAAATATCAAAAAGATCACTAAGAAAATTAAAATTTCGACGTTTTCTAAAAGAAATATTTAAGTTATTTTCTATAAACGAAGCAGACTTGTTGTTTAAAAAGTAAGTTCATATGTTTTTTATTTGTACATCATATAATATGAGTTAATTTTTGTGTTATAATAAATAATTTGTTTTAATGCCTTGCAATTATTTAAAAAAAACTACCCAACACCCAACAGTAGGTTGAAAATGTGACCATTGTTACAATGAAAATAGTTTATTGAATTAACAATTAATTTGTTGTTAAATTTACATAAATTTTATTAATTTTATAAAAAAAGTTTTATTTTAAACGAAAAGGGATTTGTAAAATTTACAAAATGTCTATGAATAATACCATTAGAGTTTCATTAATACTACAAAACGTTTTTGTAAACGGTATAGAACTGTTTTTTGGACAAATAATAACTATATTTATCAATGCGTTTCTGCATCTGAAAGAGTGTTATTTTTATAACCATAACGTAAATTTACTTTATAATTAATGCAAATGGTTTGTAGATAAATAATTCTTATAAAAATGATCTTTTTGCAGTAACAAAAGCAATTGTTGGACAAATAGGGATCTTTACTTTATTAAGACAAACTACTTTTTGTGTTATATTTATTAAAAAAAATTCTGAGTGCGACAATCATTAACTTGCTCCCATTATAGTTGTCTTGACTGTATTGTAAACCCAACAAAAATAAAGCAATGATTCAGTACAACCAAACAAACAAAAAAAACTTGATAATTTATATTTATGCACGTGTCATTATTTATTACTAGGATGATACAATGCAAAATGTGGGATTTGCATAAGCAATTTGTGATTTGTAAATTTACCAACCGCATTATGGAATAATTATTGTGACGTCAAAATTTATAATTGGAATAAAAAAAACAATTGAGAATGATATCTTACCATCGGCATTCGATGACTCCTCACTGCACGTACCTGGAACAAAAATAAACATTAGAAATTAGTTTTTTAAATCAAAATTTAAAATGATTTTTACACAAATTTAAAATTTCTAAAATATATGGCACGTCGTTTTAGCATTTATTATATAATAGTTTGGCACTTTAATGATGCTTTAACAGAAATTTAAAAAGTTAAATTTTTTTAAACTCAAAACAATTCAGATGTAGAAAGGCATTGATAAATATAGGTATTATTATTTGTTAAAAAAAAACAGTTCTATGCCGTTTACAAAAAAGTTTTGTAGTATTAATGAAACTCAATGGTATTATTCATAGAAATTTTGTAAATTTTACAAATTTCTTTTCGTTTAAAATAAAACTTTTTTTTATAATATTAATAAAATTTATGTAAATTTAAAAACAAATTAATTGTTAATTCAATAAACTATTTTCATTGTTGGTTAATTTTTTTTTAAATAATTGCAAGGCATTAAAACAAATTATTTATTATAATAAAAAATTAACTCAAATTATATGATGTACAAAATAAAAAAAATATTAATTCACTTTTTAAACAACAGGTCTGCTTCGTTTATAGAATAGACCTTAAATATTTAAACGTCGAAACTTTAATTTTCTTAGTGATCTTTTTGATATTTTTATCATGCTAAATTTTACCACACTTCACTCGCACAAGTAAAATCAATAAGATTAAAACACAGACTGTGGATTATAAAGTTATGTTCACCAAGGAAAGCGCTGGCCCTTTCCCCCTCTTTTTAAGGGAAATAACAAAAATTTTGTTACCATTGCAAAACAATAATAAATATTAAAAAAGTCTTTTTATAGTAATAAAATATTTTTGTTATTGTTCTTAACGTAAGCTATTAACAAAGATTTTCTAACTGAAATAAAATTAATTTGAATTACAACGATAATAATTTAAAAAAGACAAATATGCCATAGTAAAATGAACAAATTTTACTATAACAACTGCGCATTACTTTATGTAAGCGCAATTCACACACAACTATAGATTTAACAAAAACATTTTTAAGTTGGACAAACATAAAGTATTTCTTATTGCCATGGCAATATGATAACAACTATTACTTTGTTGGATGAACATTTTTTTTATAAAAGCTCAACATTGCTGCCTCATTATTATAATAGTAAATGCGAATTTTTTTAACAGTAAAAAAGTTTATTCTGTAAATAAAAATAATCTCATTATATTGACAAATCGTAGGTTTTTGTCCCAATAAGACACTGAAAATTTGGTTGGTACATTTTTAAACTATTTTGGTAGAAAATGTGTTTTTATTTAAATTGTCTCTATAGAGACACAATTTAAAATAAATAATTTTATAAAAAATTAATTTAGGATTTACAAAATTCTGCCCAAATAAATTATACTTAAGAAATTATTTTTATTAAAAAATGATAGTTGGAAATTTTTGCAAAAATTGATTGAAAATAATATTCTTTCAATACATGATACTTTTAAATTTATAAATGTAAAACTAAAATTTTTAATTAGGAAAATTTTAAACCAATAAAATTTCATAGTTCAAACATCCAGACTGTCGATTACCCAAAGCAAACTCATCAAGAAGGCTATAAAACAGCATGGAAGAGAAAAAAAATAAAAGTGTGAAGATAATGTCCAGATTAAAAAGGAAAACCATTGTTTTAGCTTGCACTTTTGACAAAGGCCGTCTCTACTGAAAAGCCAGCTAGTCTTTGAAAACCCAGACAAAGGCCGTCAACAACACTTAAAGAAAAAAACGCCGCACAGTGATGCAAAACGCAAGTTGGGCGGACTATCACGGTAAATTTTGATTTTGTTGCACTGTGCATCAAAACAACTCTTCCATATTTATTTAAAGTCATCCGAGCGCGTACCCCTTAATCTGCGCCAAGTAAAAAGTTAATCAAATGGTCGCATGGGGATATTAAGTTTTAATCCAATTTTTAATTGAATCTATTCTGGAATTTTTACTTTGGATTTATTTTAAAATTATTTGAATGAAAATAATTTTCGCAAACAGACCAAATTTTAAGTTGCGAATTTAATCTTTAGTGCGGGGATACGGAGCTCGAACTTGTGGTAGTGCACAAAGCGAACTCAACTTTGAGATTTTTTGGTTACACAATTTTACATGCTTTTAGATGTTTGCGCAAATGTTGTTTCAAAGATAATATATTATACCTATAAGATATATAAGAAAAATTCTTGTCTTGATTGATCGAGTGTATGAGCGTATCGGTCCACGAAGTAGGGTGTAGTATTAAGGCCGTATTACAGCCGGCAATTCTTTCGGCAATTGCAATGAAACTTGCCATAGGCATGCGCGGTTGAGACCTTTCGACGAATCTCTTGCAATTGCCGAAAATCGGTCCGGATGGATTTTTATTGCCGTTTTATGGCAATTCTGGGGTGAAATCTGGTAACTTTTATGTTACCAACCCTACTACAAATTCCCTAGAGAGACGCTGTTTGACTTAAACAGTTTAAGGTTATTTGTTGTATTTGTTTTATGATTGGCATTGTGTTCAATGTTCTAGTATACATTTCACTCATTAATTTTTAAATATCTCTACTATATAACAAATAAACTTAGTGTTTACAAAATCGTATATTTTTCTTCGGTTGGTAGCACGGTAATAAACAGCAAGTTTTCTTGCCATTGCCGGCTGTAAAACAACATGCAAGACGGCCTTGAAAACTAGATGGCAAGAAAAATTGCTGCAAGAAAAATTGCTGCAAGAAGAATTGCCGGCTGTAATACGGCTTTTAAAGTACAAAAATAATATCATGTTCATGGGAACCAAGGATAAATTCTCATATCTTTATAAAATATTGAAGTTATAATATAATATATATGTTATGGCTAATGTGCAAACTTGGATAGTTTATAAACTAGCTGGATAGTTTATAAACTAGCTGGATAGTTTATAAACTAGCTGGATAGTTTATAAACTAGCCTAACTGTCAGCTATTTTAATTGAAAATGTATTTTCAACTAAATTAGCGGCTAGTTTACAAAATAACCAAGGCTAATTTACTTGAAATTATTAGGGAAACTAAAATAGCTGGATAGTTTGTATACTATCCAATTCAATTTGGCTAATATGAAAACCAAAATTTCTAGTAACACAAAATAGCCAAGCTTTAGCTAGTTTGTAAACTAACCAACTAACTCTCTGGCTAATTTATTAAAAAAGTGAGGTTACGGCATTGTTTTTCGTTTTGCCGGCTTAACCGGATTTGTTTTCTGCATTTTAACGTTTTTAAAATGAATCATAGCAAAATTTTAACGCTTCCTTGTTAGAAAACTTAACAACACACTCCGCCCCATTGAGCAAATAACCCAACTAAAATGGGCAAAAAATGAGAGGAAAACCCAACTAAAATATGAGCAAACCCAACAAAAATTGGCAAAAATTGCGAAAATATGCAAAAAAATTGTAAAAAAATTAATTTTCATAAAATCCCGCAAAAGTCAAAATTGTGACGTTATACGAAATTAGCCAGAGAATTGGTTGGTTAGTTTACAAACTAGCTAAAGCTTGGCTATTTTGTGTTACTAGAAATTTTGGTTTTCATATTAGCCAAATTGAATTGGATAGTATACAAACTATCCAGCTATTTTAGTTTCCCTAATAATTTCAAGTAAATTCGCCAAGATCCTTGGTTATTTTGTAAACTAGCCGCTAATTTAGTTGAAAATATGTTTTCAATTAAAATAGCTGACAGTTTGGCTAGTTTATAAACTATCCAAGTTTGCACATTAGCCGTAACATATACATAATATGTTATTATATAAAAGTTATAGTATAAAACATTTTTTCATATTTGTAATAGATGGCGCTGTAATGAAAAAAAAAAATTTGTACGATTTTTCTTCTGTATACGATTCTGCAATAATTTTTCTATAAAAATATCACTTTTTTTGGTAATAATTATCTTATATAAAATTAAATCTGATTTTTTTCCACGATTTTTAACTAATATTTAAGTTTCCTTTGGTTTAAGTTTTATACATTATTTCATTCGGTAATGATTGCGCACCATGGTCACTTTTTTCCTGTCAGCATTAAATCCTTTAATTTAAAGGATTATTGTACTATTTTTAATAAAAATACCTCATAGAAGATAAAAAAACATTATTTTGCCAATTAATTAATTTAATCCTAATTGAGGTAAAAAGAAACTATTTATAGTTTAGCATTATTTAATCAATTTAGTTCGAAGATTATATTGCAAACAAAAATACCTCCTTTCGTTAAGCAGTTATTCATAATGGATTTTTCAACAGTGGAAGAAAAAATACAAACGATTTTGATTTATGGAGAAGCAGGCAGGAATCTTGATGATGCTGTTAATATCTACGCTCAGCGTTTTCCGGATAAAATTCGATCGCGTACTTCATTTCACCGTACAGTCAAGCAGTTTACTACAAACGGGAGTGTTCAACCGAAAAAAAGAGTTCGTCGAGCAACAGTCACAGGTGGAAATAATGAAATTAAGGTATTAGCAGCAACGGCCGCTAATCCTTATGCAAGCACACGAGAATTATTTAGGGTTTTGGGAATATCCCAGAGCAGTGTTGGCAGAATATTAAAACGAAATGCGAATTAATATATGGATTGAAGTCGAAGGCCACCATTTTGAGCACCTACTTTAATTAAAATTTAAAAAATAAATAAATTTAAAAAATAAAACGTATAATAAAAGTATTTTATTCAAAATTTTTTGGAGAATCGTATAGAAAAGAAAAATCGAACAAAATTGTTTTTTTTTCATTACAGCGCCATCTATTACAAATATGAAAAAATGTTTTATACAAAATCTACTAGAAAAACAATATATGTGGCTTTTAATTTTGAAAATGTTGAAATTTTTTTTTTAAATTTTGTAAATTTGTCCCACAATTTTTTATATTTGTACTACTGTACGAATTTTTCCCACAATTTTTTTATTTACCCTACTGTGCGAATTTGTCCTACCTTCTGTAATTACGTACTGAATGGCGTTTTTAAAAATGCACATCAAATGTTGTTCAAAAACGTTTTTTCTTAAGTTATTTAATAAAATCGAAAACGAACTTTGACACCCTGTATATTGGTTATTATCAACTTTTGTATAGAGGTTATATTTGGTATTATTTTCTACAGGCATTTTAGAGACACCTTGTATAATTCAAACGTGTTTAGAAATTAACAAAAACAAAATTCAATTTCTAAACTCAAAAAGTCCCTTTAATTTTGTCCGACACTGTATTCAGTTTATATAATACATACATATATGCAGTAAATAAATTATAAAACAGTATTATTATTTTTTGCAAAACATTTGTGACGTCTGGCTGTTAAACAAGCAAAATTCAAATATTTGTCCAGACAACACATGCATAAAAAATAAGAAAAACATACCAACGTCAATATTATCACTGACACTAATAACCGAATTATTTTCTGCACCTTTTAATTGACTTTTTAACCCGGATCGTCGCCTTAAAAATTTCCTTGACAGCGACATTTTTACGTCGGGGGAAACAAAACACCTTACATCGAATTCCACACTAAATAAATCAAGATAAGATTACGTATCAGAAAATGATAAATTTAATCATACGAACCTTATTTACTTTAAATAAATAAATAAATAAATTTATTGAAGAAATGACTAACCAGTCTCCTCATCCATATTATTTTCTGTACTGCATAGAGTGTGTTCAGCAAAAACCTTAAAAACTTTTTTCTTGTGTTTTCTTTTAAACAAAGGCATCACACGATATTTGTTCTGAGACTGAAGTATTTTCTATTGATTGAACTATATTCAAAACAATTATTTTGTACACAGATCCTTAATAGGATCAAATGAAAAATAAGGGCTTCATTTAATCTACATAGGTATGTATGACAAAATTAACAACCTGAAAATATGTTTGTTTTACAGACAGAGTTGCAAAAATGTTAATGTATAAAATAAGACGATCGTCATTTTTTTTAATGGTAATGTAGTACAATACATTAATCATTAAAAAAAATTTAATTTTAAAATACTCATTACAAATTAAAAATGAGTAGGGTAAACCACTTAGTTATTGGACACTTAAGAAATATTATTTATTTAAAATTTATATATGCCGTTGTTTTAAAGATTTTAGTTTTTTTATAAATATATAAAAAGGATAGTTTGTTTCTTTGAACTTTATTTACGTTTACTTAAAAATAAGAATATTTGAATTTTTAATGATAGTTTTATAAACACATGCAAAAAGTATAGTAATTGGACATATGGACCATAGGTATTGGACATACAATTTTTATATAAACATAACAACTTTACATCAAATAACATAAATTGATAAATATTTTTGATTGTAATTTAAACACAGCCCTGCTGTTAACAAAAAAACAAAAATCTTACCACCAAAGTAACGTATATTGGACCCAAAATAAAGTAGTTCTATATTATTACCGACTGAGATATTTATAATTGTATCTAATGATTTGACTTTAAGGTAACTATTTATAGAACTCTTGAGATAGAGATATGACAAGATTATTTTCTTTTCGACGGATAAAAAACTTTTCCTTTTGGAACTGCATAATTCCAGATAAACTCCCTTTCATCCGAAATTTGCATGTTTACGTAGCAAATCGGTTTTCTGGGTAGGTATGCCCAAAGCATACTTGACCGGACACATGCAAACGACTTGTGTGTATTCGCTTCCCCGGTAGCGATCGATCACGGCCAACTTCTCATGTAAATATCTCTCTCGGCTGCCGCAGACTTTTCGTGGGCTGGTTTCAACTTTCGGGCAGTTTAAAACCACCGCTGCACCAAACGACTTGTCAAAAAGGGAGTTTTATTGTTTTATCGCCTTGGAAGTTTCTTCGAAGTTGTGCGATAGCGCGAGTTACGTGAATGCCATTCACTAAATTTTAGAAAAGTATAATATAGAAAGACTTAATTTGCCAGCTATTCTTCCAATACTCGAATCACTTCTAAAACTCGATCTTTGGGATAGCCTTTAGTTCTTTCAGCGATGCGCTTTTAATGTCATCTATGCTTGCAAAACGACGGCCCTTTAAGGTTCTCTTTATTTTTGCGAATAGGAAAAAGTCAGACAGAGGCATGTCTGGCGAATATGGAGGCTACATATTGTTTTTGGCCAAAAATTTTGTTCAAAATTAACAATTTTAGAACAAATTTTGCTGCCATGCGTTTCATACCCAAAACATTCGAAAAAATTTCATGGGATGTCGATATACCAACATCATCAGCGACTTCTCTGATGGTTTATAACCATTTTTTTCACTTTTTCCATGTTTTTATCGGTTGTTAATGTGTTTGTGCGTTCGGGGCGTTCGTCATCTTCAACGTCTTCACGGCCATCTTGGAAACTCTTATACCACTTGTAAACTCTTGTTTTTCTTATAGCAGACTCACCATAGGCCGTTGTTAACATTTCACTGAATTTATTTCATTTTTTAAGCAAAATTGGATACAAATTCTTTGATCCATTTCTTTTAACGAACGAAAAATCGCCGAGCTCATAAAACGCGTCTAACCTTAGCGGCTGCCACAGACAAAGTAAACAATGAAAATAGCTAAAGTTTTTATCATACTTCGAGGGCATGTATACCAACATAATAAAGAAAATTTTATGACAACCGGACCCTCTGAACCCGCGAAATTTAACAATTCCCGCTATTTTCTGAACACACCTCGTACATTTTACGAAAAAATGTTTAAAAAAAAAATTAAATGATTCGAGGGGGGAAATCAATCAGTACTAAAATTGGTCCTCGTACTCTCCTCCTTATAGGGGGAACAGGGAGTAACTTCCAATTTCCAATGGAACACCCTATTTTTTATTGCAGATTCGGATCATTCGACTAAAAATAGGTAGATTTTGTCTAAAACATTTTTTCATATTTGTAATGAAAAAAAATCAATTTTGTTCGATTTTTCTTCTGTATACGATTCTGCAATAATTTTTCTATAAAAATATCACTTTTTTGGTAATAATTATCGTATTAAATTAAATCTGATTTTGTACCCACGATTTTTTAACTAATATTTAAATTTCCTTTGGTTTAAGTTTTATACATTACATCATTCGGTGATAATTATCAATTGCGCACCATTATCACTTTTTACCTGCCAGCATTAAATCCTTTAATTTAAAGGATAATTGTACTATTTTTAATAAAAATACCTCATTTAAGGTTAAAAAAAACATTATTTTGTCAATTAATTAATTTAATCCTAATTGAGGTATAAAAAAATGGTAGGTATTTAGTTATAAATAATAATTATTATTGAGGTATTAATTTGCAAACAACTTCGTTAAGCAGTTATTCATAATGGATTTTTTAACAGTGGAAGAAAAAATGGAAATGATTTTGATTTATGGAGAAGCAGGCAGGAATCTTGATGATGCTGCTAATATCTACGCTCAGCGTTTTCCGGATAAAATTCGATCACGTACTTCATTTCACCGTACAGCCAAGCAGTTTACTACAAACTGGAGTGTTCAACCGAAAAAAAGAGTTCGTCGAGCAATAGTCACAGGCGGAAATAATGAAATTAACGTATTAGCAGCAACGGCCGCTAATCCTCATGCAAGCACACGAGAATTATCTGGAGATTTGGGAGTATCCCAGAGAAGTGTTAGCAGAACTCACCCTGTATATTTCTCTCAGTATACCTTGACTGCAAGTAGAAAATATTATTTAAGTTATTATATTATATTTTATTATACGAGTATACCCTCGACAAAAAGTTCTTTTTTATTTCTTACAATTTCCAAACGAGTATTTTTCCTTGGAGAAATTATCTCTTATTGGTTTTCCACTCCTATAACTTAACACAAACTCCACAAAGAAAACCTAACACGAAATACCAAACATTTCTCTTTGTTAAGTTATCTGAATGGTTTATGTAAGGCTAGGGCTGGGACAGTTGAAATTTTCAAATGAAAATTTCATCTTCAAACTTGAAATATTTCATTTAGTTGGAAAAGTGAAATTTTTAAAAATTTCAAATGAAATTTTCAATCCGAAAATTTCAACATTGCCTGTGAAAGTTTCTGAAATTTCATTGAAAGTTTCGCAATTTACTGAAAATTTCACATGCGGCCTCCCCTGGGACCTTTAATAATAATTTTCAACAGATTCCGAATCGACCAATAAGAACGAGTTATCAAGCGTCTGGGCGTTTTTGTTTAGTTCGGCTTGGATTTGAATACACTATAAGTAATTATTGTTACTTATATGCATAAATTAATTTAAATAATTTAATTCAGTTACCAATTTAATTTGTAAATTAAATCATAATTCAAATTTTTTTTAAAAGTCATGATTAATTTAAACTTTTACTTTTGCTATAATTGCATCGGAAAACGGATAAAAAATGCCTTTGGCTCATAAAATTTTGATGAAGTTTCTTCAATTTTCGTAAAATTTCAGTAAAATATTTAAAAATAATAAATATTTATAAATATAAAACAATAAAAGTGGCACAATCTCATTAGCTTACCAAAAAGTGCTATATCTCTTTTAGTAATTTTAAAAGGAAATCTCAAGAAATTTTTGGTAAACATATTTATATTATTGGTGCAGGGGCCCACAGAGGGGTAGGAGGTAAGAGAGGCAATTTGCCATGGTCCCCGAGTGGGCTTATTTCAATATTAATATATTACACTTAAAGTGATTGAAATTTATTGAAAGTTTCAATAATAGACCAGTGCAGAAGCCTTTAAAAATGGTAAAAAGAGAAATAGACCAGGGTCGATAATTTTTGAAACCAAAAAAAATAACAGTAGGATGAAACCCATTGGAAAAGGAGGGGAATATAATAAAAATTAAAGGAAAAATAAATTACGGGCGATCTGAGTTCCGGAAGTGGGAGGGGGGGTTTTAAGGGTAAAAAATGGTTTATCTCGATTTCCGGCAAAACTACAAGTCCTATAGAAAAAAGTTAAATGTCAAAGTTGTAGGCAATAAAAAGATCTACAACTTTTGTATTTACAATTTTTTCACATAACCTCAAAATTTATGTGAAAAATTCAAAAAACCAAGTTTTTGGTTTTTTATTTTCATCTTTTTCAAAAAAAAAAAATTCCACGAAATTTGGTGAAAACTTACCTTTTTATGTCCCAAATACACTGTAATTTATTTGATTTGAAATATTTATTATTTCGCCTTATTTTAACTTAATATCAAAAAAGCACCCTAATTTTCAATCGAAAATTCTCGCGTCAAAATATCAGCTTTTTTCAAAAAGTCGGTGTGTTTTTTGTTCGATGAACTCTCTACTTTCTGATGGTGTAAAAAAAAATATACATTACTATGGTAAATGTTCTCAGAAAATACAAAAAATATTATAATGAATAACGTAATCAGAATGAAGTATCTAAATTCAATAGTATGATTTACATGTATTTTTATATTTTATGAGATTTTCTGACATAAATGTTATTAGAATTTAATTAATAAACTTTTTAACTAAAAAAAATTGCAACAATACAACAATTCGAGTTTTTTTCGTTATTCATTATAATATTTTTTGCATTTTCTGAGAACATTTACCATAGTAATGAATATTTTTTTACACCATCAGAAAGTAGAGATTTCAACGAACAAAAAGCACACCGACTTTTTGAAAAAAGCTGATATTTTCACGCGAGAATTTTCGATTGAAAATTGGGGTGCTTTTTTGATATTAAGTCAAAATAAGGCGAAATAATAAATATTTCAAATCCAATAAATTACAGTGTATTTGGGACATAAAAAGGTAAGTTTTCACCAAATTTTGTGGAAAAAATTTTTTTTTGAAAAAGATAATAAAAAACAAAAACTTGGTTTTTTGAATTTTTCACATAAATTTTGAGGTTTTGTAAAAAAATTGTAATTACAAAAGTTGTAGATCCTTTTATTACCTACAACTTTGCCATTTAACTTTTTTCCATAGGACTTGTAGTTTTGCCGGGAATCGAGATAAACCATTTTTTACCCTTAAACCCCCCCCTCCCGAAGTCAGATCGCCCGTAATTTATTTTTCCTTTCATTTTTATTATATTCTTCTCCTTTTCCAATGGGTTTCATCCTACTGTTATTTTTTTTGGTTTTAAAAATTATCGACCCTGGTCTATAAATTTCATAAATTTCATGAAATTTCAGAAATTTAGGAAATTTTAATAAATTTCATAAATGTCATGAAAATTTCAAGTGAAATTTCAAGTAGAAGCAAAAAGTGAAATTTTCCCAACCCTACCTAAGGCAACCAAAAAAATCCAACATACAATAAGGCTAATCTTGTTTTTGTCGGTATACCTTGACTGTATAGAGGAAACTCGCCATCGCTGTGGCTGTGCGTCAACATAACACTCCACGGACCGCCCCCAGGCCCCCCTTTTTTGCCCGAAGAAAACTCCAGCTCCACTGTAGGTTAAAATAATTTTAATTATTAAACAAGTCGTACGCGAAACGCAGAGTAGGCAACCGGGACGTCGAGTGCGACGCGACGTCGAAGACTGACTTTCTGCGGGAGAGCGAAAGAAGGTTTAGAAACTGCGCGCCCCAGATTTCGGTCTTTGTGGGCAATTTGGGTCAACCGAAATTTTCATCAAATTATATTCACTATAGTTTCTAGTAGTGCTAATTGATGTGACAGTACTTACGGCTGTTGTTAAAGTAACCCGTGAGGTTTTATTTTGTTAATGATACAGTTGAGTTGAGGCATTAGCAAATGAAAAGAGTCGGTTAAAATCACGTTTATGTGGCCTTTTTAGCGGGCTTTGTTCACGAATTGCTGTTCCAACAGACAAAAACCTTTTATCTTCAAAGAAAATCATTAATTATAAGAGGAAAAACATCAACAATTTCCGCCCAACATGACTCTCACAACAGTCCTTTTTATTTGTTATTTAATAACGCCAAAATTTCAGAGTTTTCTTACCTTGCTTATGTTTCTGAAAGGGTCACAACTAGAGATGTAAAAAACGGTTTTTTGTTTTTTCCTGATTTTTTTAAACCGCTACAATAATTCACAACATTTTGCTAAAATTTTAAATTTTGTTGACTAATTTGGTGCATCTTAAAATATAATTATTATCTTTTATAAGAGGTCTAAAAAAGATATCATATAGGTAGGTACAGTTCTTTTTTTTTAATTTATTCTAGTTTGAGAGGTACACCTTTTTAATGGTAGCCGAACTGTGTAATCTAAAAATTGCATCAAATGTTATAAAAACCTAACCTCAAATTTTGTATGGGACAATAAGCTGAAAGCAACCCCCGTTTCTACGACACTGTGTTCACTCAAACAATTATAATTATGTGTGAATATGTGTTTTGGTAGTAAGTGACTGTTCGCAAAATATCACCTTTCCGTTACTACCACAGTAGAGTTTATAATATTATATTATATTATAGAGGTTATAATATTATTTAAAAAACTGATATGATAAGTAACACTTTATCACCCTGTATCTTGGAAACTTAAGTAATTAGGAAAAATATTTATTTGGGTTTTCGTCTAATTTTAACTTGTTTAATCTTTTCCTAAATTTATGTCAATAAGTTTAGGGACACCTTGTATATACATTATAATTATTATTAAGCCACTACAAGTATTAACGTCCAGTGGCTTTAACAAAATATCCATTCACCATTGGAGTCCAATGATTGGACAACATTCACGTGTACAGGGTGATCCCCTATAATGTCGCCCCCCTTTAACTTTTTTATTTTAAGTGTCTCAAAAAATTTAAAAGTGTGGTTATGTAGGAACTAAAAAATACTTTTTTTCTACGTATAAAGAAAATTGGAAAATTTATCAGTATACAGGGAAAAACAAAAAGTTTACTTTTTTTCAATGGATCACCCTATATATGAATTTATTTTTCGATTCCTTGTAAAATTCTAAGCATATTTCATATAACATACCATATACCTAAATTCAACTGTTTCTAAAATATTTAAATTATTTTTAAGATAATAAGTTGAAATAGTTTGTCTTTCTCTGTCTGAGTACGCCATTTTTACTTTTAACAAGATATATTGATATAATGTTACTATAGTAATTTATTTTCAATAAAAATTTTGGTATACTGAGGCTTCTTGATTTCTAACAGTTTAGAAAAACATTTAATGATAACATTTCGAATGCGAATATTTCAGAAACGGTTGAATTTAGGTATATGGTTTGTTATATGAATTATGCTCAGAATTTTACAAGGAATCGAAAAATAAATTCATACCTATATAGGGTGATCCATTGAAAAAAAATAAACATTTTGTTTTTCCCTGTATATTGATCAATTTGAAATTTTTTTTAATACGTAGAAAAAAAGTATTTTTAGGTCCTACATAACCACACTTTTAAATTATAGGGGATCACCATGTACACATAAAATTTTTATTTCTTTTATATAAATTCTCACCTATGTATATTTAACTACTTTTTATATGATTTTACTCGTCTACGCAGTACCAAAGCCAAATTAATTGCATTTTTAACTTTTTCTAAAATTCTGAAATACTTAAATTAAATTTGTTAATTGATAATTAATTTGAAGAAAAAAAATCATCATGTTTTTATTAATTGCCATTATTGATAAACAAATTGCAGGACGAAATTTAGTCTAGACAGCTGTTTTAAATTAATTGTTTAAATATTTAAAAAAACATTAAACGTTAAAAAACTAAAAAAATTACTCAAACTACAAATCATCGTTCTCAAAAGTAATGCGGTCGAAAATTGGCATTCAAAAGGGAAATAGATTTCACGAACTCGCTTCCAATAAATTTACGACACTTCCACAGGGTTTGGTACAGATTTTATCAAAACAGAGAGAAAATAATCCCATTTAACGCAAATATCGATTGAAAATATCAAACTCGACCGATAGCGCCACCTAGTGATCGGAGTACGAAGTTAGGTACAAGGCAACAAAATGTTACCTTTTAAAAATTTTTTTTTGTTTTTTTTTAACTCACCACCATCTCCATTTAACTTAAGCGGGTCCAAAATAGGTCCTGTTGTTCCTGAGCTTGTAGCTTCAGGAGCTGTAGCTGTAGATGGCTCATTTTCTGCAAAAAATAACACAAAGTTCACATATAAGTTATATGATATAACACAATAATTTTAATTAATTTAAAAATAAAACGCTCAAAACCATTAAATCCCTTTATTTGCTACCCTTTACATATCCTTAAATAAAAAAAATCAATGAAAAAATATCCTATTCCTTATGGCCCTCCTTCTAAAAAGATTCACAAACTCAGACTTCAAACTTTTGTAATCACTTATTTCAGTATCAATATTCCCGAACTCCCTTTTCAGTAAACTCCTCCATAGCACGGGATTTTTGGAAACCTCCAAAAAGCATTGACAAACGATGCTGAACTGTATGAGATCTTTTCCATTCAAATATAAAGCTATTTTAAGTAGCAACTCGTTGGGTAGGTATCGTAAGGTTGGGTAATATTGGCCATTGTTGGTTAATATTGTTACTTTTATGGGGTTTAAAACATTCTCTTTAACAATTTTTGCTAGGTGGTTCAAATTTTGCAACTTATTCGCATGTAAGTGTGTTTTTGAGCTTGTAAAGTATGTTAGGGGGTCCACCACAGTCTGATAGGAATGTTTTATGCCTTCATTTGTGGTCATCATAGAATTTATCAAAACATCCTCATTGAGAAGTATGATATTTATTTTGCAAACTTCTTTAAATCCAGCCAAATTAAAATCAAAGACATTGAAGTTGTTGCGTTTCCAGTTTTTCGGTAATTTTTCCGTTAAATGCAACAATTTCTGGTAATTAAATTGGTAATCTGCATATATTTCCTGAAATTCTATAGGAATAAAACCACATTCTAAAGCAATTATGTAAATAACACCAGAAATGATGTCAGTTCTATTAAAATTAATTTTTTCCTCATTAAAAAACTGGAATAAGTTCGTAATTGTTTTAGGCGGGATATCTTTCTGAATTTTCAGGTCTTCTATGAGCATTGGTTCCATGATTTATGATCTATGATTTTAAATATTGGCGCCTTAATTTCCAAAACACACAACTGTTGATTCACTGCTTAGAATGTCGCTTAAAAACCCATAATTCCCCGTATTGTTGCATTACACTCGATAATTTCTCACTTTGTTCATTTTCTAGCGAAAGTCGACTCGAAAATCGCGACAAATCCTTGGAAAAACTACTTATGAGTCATTGTATCAATCATAACCTTATTTTTGTTACGCAAAATAATGACATTTTAGCTGTGCAGCGACTTTAACACGCGAAATTTTGATTATTTCTGTTACCAGGCACTTAATTACGCGCCCAAACAACCCCTAGACTAATTTAAACATTGTTTTTCAACGTAAATTAAATGTATAACAACACCATCTGTCATTCGCAAAACTAGGGTTAATAATGAAATAAAAGGGTTATGTTAGGTTGGTAAATTACCTTGTTCACTTTTATTTTCCTCCGCATTATCTTTTTGTTGCACTACACCGCTCTGTTTGTCCGTAATTACGTTATTTAACACTACACAACCACTACTTTCGGCCATCTTACAAAACTTCCTTATTTGGACGGCATTTGTCTTAAGTTTTGAATTTTGGTTGCACGTAATTGCCACAGGTGGCGCTACCTGCGCAACAATTGAAGAATTTTCTTTGAAAATGACATTTCTGTGAGGTTTTTAGGTAATCCAATTTTAATGGGTTTATAAGTCAAAAAAAATGCATATAATTTACAAATAAAAGATTTATTTAATCACAAAAACGTACACATCAACTTGGTGTAATTATTCACAATAAAATAAATCTAGAAGTTCCTGAAACAAAACAAAAACGCATTGAAACAACATACCTACTAAATTTTAATAAAACAATGGGGTAGTTAAATTTTTTCTGGCCTATACTTTTTATGGTTTTATTCAAGGCGTTTTGTAATATTAAACATTTCTGTGAAATCAGAATTTCAATTGAGTTTACCGTTTTCGAGATATTTACAAAAAATATACATTTTTATGACGTCACAAACCTCGCCATGTGACCAACATTCTAAGATTTCTATTGGTTGAAAATTACCCTGTTGTCAAGTTGTCTTGTTAATGATTTCATTCGGTTATGTCAGAAAATACCCGAAGAGGTTATGTACAACTACTGTCACTGTCAGTTGAGTGAAAGATGGTCACCAAATTCAAGTACCTATCTTCCTTATTACGAGGTATCATATTACTGTTTGATATTTTAGAGTCCAAGAATATAAAGAACTAGGCATTATACTAATGAAATGCATTTACTAATGAAATGCATTTACGACAAAATATGATTATAATTATAGGTAGGTATTTACTTTATTTGTTTAAAAGCTCCAATGTTCAATGTAACCAACCATTCCACAAGATTCCTCTGCTTTGGAGTCCGTTATTAATAAATCACTTATCTAATATCAATTACAAATAACATAACAATAACATTGATTTTCAATAATCTAAATTTTAACCCGAAAAAAAGAAACGTCAAAAAATCAATTCTTCTTCTTCTTCTCAACTAAAATTTTAGATCAAGTAGTTTTAAAACTAAAATATTATAACGTGGCGCCATCTATCGTAAGAATCTTAAACTAAACACCATAGAAAAAGCTGGCAACGTTGTCAATAGCCTAGTGACGTAATTAGGAGACTTTTTTTTGTAAATATCTCGAAAACGGTAAACTTAATTGAAATTCCGATTTCACAAAGATGTTTAAAATTACAAAACGCCTTGAATAAAACCATAAAAAGTATAGGTCAGAAAAAATTTAACTACCCCATTGAAAAAAAAACTATAGTTATTTAAAATAACTTATTTTAGAACAAAAAGTTCTCGTTTTAAGCTTACTTAGAAATAATTCCGTCCTTTTTGGTTAACCTAACGATGCAATCATCTGATTCTCCCATACGCCTGATAGCCCCACACAAAGCGTAGCTTTTGGTGTTTTCTGTCATTCTGCCAGTTTGAGGGTCAACTTCGGCAATGCTCAACTGAATCGAAGCATGGTCTTTGGCGTGAATGATTCTGTTGCTGGCAGAGCTAAAATAACAATTTACCCGTTAGAAATGCGTTCGACGTTGATTTTGGATATAAAAACTACGTTTATACACGTGTTTTTTGGTTACATACCATTTTCTTGGGCAGTACAAGTCAACGAAATCTCCTGCGTCGTTTTCCATTTTGTTTTGTGCTAAAATAGATGTTAATTATTAGTTATTTGGTTGATTTGAGGAATTATTTGTCAAAATAACGGCAAAAACTCACTTTATTTGTTAATATTTTACACGCGGATCAACTAAGATGGCCGATCGGTAAAAAAGAGAGCTTCCAACATTTTCCGTTGACGGCGTTAGCTGCAGCACTGCGTTCAGAGATTTTTTCGGGGTAAATTTGCTATTAATATTGTTTGTGCGAGTATTATAATAAATATTTTAGCACGTTTTACTGCAATTAGTAAGTTTAAGTAATATGGTTTGTGTTTTAGGCTTCTAAAACGTACTTTTTAGGGGTGTAAATTTCTGATCGTATTTGACGTTTGTCGGCGCGCCATCTATGAGCGAGTTGCCGAAGCATTGCGGAGATTGAGAAAGTGGGGAAAGAAAATTGCGGTCGCGTTGATTTTTGCGTAACGGCGCTTGCGCTCCTATATTTTTAAAATCCGCGCGTTGCAGCGGCTGGCTCGATATCCTACAAAGTGGCAAGATTCCGTAACAAATGCACGATGCGATGATGCGGTCCATTAACGTAAAAAACGCGTTTTTTCACCTGCACGGTTAAACAACAGTTAAAAGTTGAAAGGGATTTATTTCGTTAGATCAGGTGGCCTGTGATTTTTTATGTTTTTTGAGTTTTGTGTTTGTGCCTTTTGGATTTAGGTCAACATCGCTTCTAGAATGTCACTTAAGGTATGTAAACATTAGGTAATTTTGCGTTTTAAAATGTTTTATGCGGTATTTTTAGTGTTTTGACGTTTTAAATATATTTTTATATTTCCACGCCCAATTGTTTATTCATGAATATGCAGATTATGTTGTTTTAAAGGGCATATTGACAAAATAATTTTGACGTTTCAAAACGAAAAATTATTTTGACAGATCGAAGCCCATTTGTTAATTCATAGAACTGTTGATTTTATCGTTATTAACTTTATACACATAAATATTAAAATAAAACAAACATTTAATTTTATATTAGGTAAGTATTGTAAAAACCATGTAAATTTTGTTTTTGTTTATCAATTGTTTATTTTATTTTTAGCAACTTTACTACGTAAATCCATAAAATACGTAAACTGTACGATAAAAGTCGACGCACCAAACAAAATTAGAAAATATTTTTAAATTTAAATTCATCATTCCACATAATTTGTACCTGTTATTTTAACAGCACAGTAAATAAATTTAAATTTTAATATTATTCAATGCCATTTAAATCAGTGCTAAAAATAAGTTATAACTAAAAAAATAAATGTTATTAACTGGTATAGTTATAACTATCAAGATTCAAATGATTTGCATTAATTTAAATGATTCCAATTAATTAATCTTTTGCGACAAATGGTGAATTCGCCGATATAAATGTTGTTTTTTATTGTATGTTTTATTAACCTAGTTTACAAGAAATAAAATAAATTAAGTTGACAATTTCTCTTGAAAAGTTTCAAACATTATATTTTATTGCTGGACATTAAGAACAGTTGACATTTTTATTTTTTTAGCCTAATTATACGTATATGGGAAATGTGGGAAAAATTGTATCTAAAAAAATATCTGTGATGTTTTTTACCTATAAAACTTATTAAAAATGTAGATACCTATAGGTAATAGTTTTAAAGATCTTAAAACAATCGTTGTTTTAAAAGTAGAACGATCTTAATTTAAAAATGTACATTATACATTGTATAATGACAGAAACTGTTAAGTATGCCTACAAGCAATGATTTGTGTTAATTTTATAGCTGTAGTTGTATAATAAATATTAATTTACAGAAATTAGTTTAAAAAATAACTATATGCTACTGCTACTGATATATGGACTTTATTGGATACTAAGGTATAAATTAAATATTTTCCACTTAATAGGCTATAATTAAAAATAAAATTGTTCATTTATAAACATTAGGTTCATTCCAACCAGCAGTAATATTACCGTAATATTATCGTCCGTAACAGCGTTAATGCGACTGCGCGAACAGAAATAGTAAAATTATTTTGAATAATGTATAAACTGGTTGGAACCTTTTTGGAACTGGTAGTACTCACAATCAGAAGAAAAAGAATATAACCCAAAACCCACAATTGTATTGTGCTAAAAACTAAGTAAAGCGCATTTAGGTATATCTATTTCAATAAAGTAATAAATATGGCAGGTTTTTTAAATAATTACTTGTATGATTCTTCGGATGACAAGGAATTTAGATTTTATTGGGGACATTGCTACTAGAAATAAATATAACCCAGGTTTGTTGAGTTTATAAATATATATAAAAGTATATTTTAATAACATCACACATTGATAATAAATTGTTCCATTCCTGCTCACAAATGACAAAAATTAGATGTATTAACATTAAAAATTTATAAAATCACCTTGTATAGCAGTAATTTTTAAATAATATGTCCACTTTCACAGAAAACAAACTTACAATATTACAAACGTTAATAAATAAACAAAAAGATGAGGTTATGTGCCCCTTCTACGCAGGGTTGGGTCAGTAGAAAACCTTAGGTAATTTACCTTGGTAGAAAAGGGTAGAAAACTTGTTTTCGACTTGCGTCGAAAACCTATAGGGTTTTCTACCTACGTAAATTACCTTATTCGACCTTCTCCTTCCACTTCTCTATAATTGATAAAAATTTGCCCTCATGCCAAAAATTATGTTGGGGTCTCCCAACCAAACGTGGCCCTTTTTTTCCCACCATAATAATGTTAAAAAACTCCAAATAACTTCAAATTTATGGTAGGTGTCTGATTTTTCACAACATTTAACAAATCATAATAAACAACAAACTTGCATAACCTCACATTTTTTGATATTTGACAGTATTCTACTTTTTTACGTTTTCTACCGTCGAAAACGTCGAAAAAGGTTTTCTACATGTCGAAAACAAAAATGTAGGTAGATACCCAACCCTGCTTCTACGCAGGGTTGGGTCAGTAGAAAACCTTAGGTAATTTACCTTGGTAGAAAAGGGTAGAAAACTTGTTTTCGACTTGCGTCGAAAACCTATAGGGTTTTCTACCTACGTAAATTACCTTATTCGACCTTCTCCTTCCACTTCTCTATAATTGATAAACATTTGCCCTCATGCCAAAAATTATGTTGGGGGCTCCCAACCAAACGTGGCCCTTTTTTTCCCACCATAATAATGTTAAAAACTCCAAATAACTTCAAATTTATGGTAGGTGTCTGATTTTTCACAACATTTAACAAATCATAATAAACAACAAACTTGCATAACCTCACATTTTTTGATATTTGACAGTATTCTACTTTTTTACGTTTTCTACCGTCGAAAACGTCGAAAAAGGTTTTCTACATGTCGAAAACAAAAATGTAGGTAGATACCCAACCCTGCTTCTACGCATGCGTCTAATTTTATTATCAACAGTTCTTGCTCTCGAGCAAGAATCGTTTGAACCGTAATTTAACTGTTCGTAACTCTGGTTGGAACGACGAACTGACAGTAATTGCCAGTTCTAAACTAGTAATTTTAGTTGGTTGGAACGACATTTTACAAACGCGCATGTGTATCAGTAATATTACTGGAAATTATTGCTGGTTGGAATGAACCTATTATATGTTTTGTTAGAAAAGTTAAAAAATATGATTTTCTTTTGTTCTAGAAAGAGTCTTTGTCAGATGTTCAACTTCATTTGGCATCATTAAATGGAAATTTGTCTTTGTTGAAAAGGATTTTGGATAGTGGAAAGGTTCACGTGGATTCTAGAGACAAGGTAAAATATTTAACTTATTGTTTTTTTACTGTTTTATTGTGCAACTTCTACAAATGTATTTTCTGACAGTTTATGTCAAAAAATTGAAATGCGTGTTATTGTTATTGGCTGTTATAATATGTATATAGGACTAATAAAGAAAAAACATCAACAGCTGTCTGTCATTAGAGACTTGATTTGAAAGCAGAACAAAACTTCAGTACACACATATCGTAGACACACTTTTTTCAATACGTGACTGTATTTAGACTACCGAGGTTTATTAAAACACTTTTATAAAATATTTTGCCAGGCCAATATTTTTTTAAATTCTAAATTTTAATCAAATTTTAGCAAGTATTGAAGAATTTTTTTCTTCTAACATTAGTAGTATATAATTTTTGTTACTTAGTTTAAAAGGTAAATTGTATGCATTGTGCATTTTATTATTTATATTTTTATTTTCTCCTATTAATGCATGAAAAACAGTAGTATTTATTAAACATACCAAGGTTTTTCAGACGCTTGAGAGACCAAAACTAAATTTCATAATAAGCATTCCATTCATTAATTCTGGTTTTCAACGAAACAGCATTCGGTCGAAAGCATTGCAGCGCAACGAAGCATCAAGTTACGACGAAACATTTTTATTTTTTTAGATTTACATAGACCCAAATGACCTAAAAAGAGCAGAAAAATAATCAAACCTCAATACCTCTGATGTTCTTGGAGATAAATTATCAAAATGTATAACACATATTCAAAATATTTTCCTCAACAGCATACTAAAATTTAATTTCGATATCCCGTGTAGTTTTTGAGATATACCGATTTAAAATCGACTCCGTGATAGAAAATACGATTACAGTGACCCCCAAAACAAAAAAATCAAGGTGATGGTGACAGAGTGAAAGCAATTTTAGTTTAGAAGGGAACGCTCATAAATTTATAAATGTATATATCCGTACCTACTATAAAATGCATTTATTTATGTTTAATTAATTTGTTGTTAAGTGGAGCATTACATTGGAAACATGTTGTTTTTTCGAGGAAGACTGAAAATGGTTTCGATTTAGATTGGATGCGTTCAATTGAACTCGGCCATAATATAAGCTTTCTCTGCCTGGTCTAAAATGTACTATTATATAAATTTATTATTATTATTTAATTTTTATTTTATCTGTTATTTTTTTAATTTAGTTTTTATTCAATATTTTTACTGTTATTTTACCTATTTATAATTTATAAACCTATTTAATTTAAACTTTATAGACACTTTTTATAATGCGGGGTTTACATTCTAGCTTAAAATATTCCTGGCATGTTAAAAAAATTCAAAAATTTAAAAAAAAAATAATTTTCAAAAATTATCATTTTAAAATTAAAAAATAGAGGGACAAATTCGCACAATGGAATAAACTTAAAAATTTGCACAGTGGCATAAATTTAAAAAATAATTTTTAAAAAATTATTATTTCCGCACAGTAGGTCAAAATTAAAAAATATCGGGAAAAATTCGTACAGTGGGATGAATTTAAAAAATAGAGAGACCAATTCGCACAGTGGCATAAATTTAAAAAATGGTGGGACAAATTACCACAATTCTCAAAACTTTAAAAATTATTTAAAAAAATTTATTATTTAAGTTTTAAAAAATTAATAATTCCGCACAGTAGTTCAAAATTAAAAACTGTGTACTGTGTAAAAATGTGTACTGTGGGATGAACTTAAAAAAATGGAAGGACAAATTCGCACTGTGGCATAAATTTAAAAAATGGTGGAACAACTTTCCGAAATACTCAAAATTTCTAAAACTTTCAATTTCTAGAAATTTTAGATTTTCAAAATTTCCAAAATTTTTAATTTTTAAAAAGTAATCATTTTGCAAAATAGTTCAAAATTAAAGAAATGGCAGTAAAAATTGGTACAGTGGGATGGATTTAAAAACGAAAGGACAAATTCGCACAGTGCTATAAATTTAAAGAATGGTAGGACAAAAGCGCACAGTCGCATAAATTTAAAAAATGGTGCTACAAATTTCCGAAATTATCAAAATTTCCGCACAGTAGTTCAAAATTAAAAAATCGCACAGTGGGTGCAGAGAGATTAAGTTATCTCTCCATTATTTTGTATTTTTATTAGGTATATCCGTTAAATAGTTGACAATGTAGACAAATTGGATTTACTGGCATAAAACCTAGTCAGATGTGTTTCATTGAAATCTCTTTATTTTCTTTATAAATTAACAAGACAATATTATATACAATTAAATAACAAAATAATAAACTTAATCTCTCTACAGTGGGATAAATTTAAAAAACGGATAGAAAAAGTTTCTAAAAATTTTGGGTTTTCAAAATTTCCAAAACAGATACCCACGTTAGAAATTGTAACGCGAGTTACTGTATTTTTTACAGATGTCGCTCTATACAAATATTTAATTTGATTTTTAGATAGTAATAAATTTTTCTAGGCACCTATTTAATTAAACACTCTTTCGTGCCTAATTATAATTCGTGACTAAAATTTCGTTTATCAAACATGATACATAAAATATGTAGGTTGGTACTATTATTTTTATTTTATCTGTTATTTTTTAATTTGTTCTTTTTTAATTTCCAATATTTTTACCGTTATTTTAATTAGAATTAATTGTAATAAAATCTACCTTCATTTTATATATTAATGCATATGATTATTTAATTTGTTTATAAGCACTTTTTAAAATGTGAGTTTTACATTCTAGCTTAATATATTCCTGGCATGTTAAAAATGAGTTATTAACTTTTTAAGATTTACATTTTATATTCTCAAATGCATTCTCTCGAGTTATTTTTAAACAATTGAGAACAACTGTTAAAAATAGCAACGTAAAGCGCCCACTAATTATATACAGGTTGTCCGTTTATCATTTTTAGTTTTCGAGATATCGTAAAAAACAAAAATTTGTAATTTTAACTTAAATTTTTTATTTCAAAAACGGTTGACTAATTCAGAAAAACGGACAACATGTAGTGTACAACTTAAAAAATAATAATAATTCATACAATTTTTTTTATTAGGAAGGTACGACACCTTTAATTTTGGCGTCCGCCAATGGCCATTTTGACTGCGTTCAAGAGTTAATTTCGGAACAGGGGGCTGACCCAACAGCTAAAAGAATAGTAAGAAATTTCGTTTTTTTATATTTAAATAATTAAAAAAAAATTTTTTAGACAGGCACCACAGCTTTATTTTTTGCCGCACAGGGCGGTTTTCTTGACATTGTGCAGTTTTTGCTGGACAATGGGGCACCCGTGGATTCACCCAGCGTTGTAAGTAAAATAAAATATATTTTTTGAATTTTTATATAGATACTATTCCTTTTTACAATTTTTATTTAGGTAATTTTTAAATATTAATTAATTTCTTAAAAAAAAATATTTTTATAATTTTTTTTTTAATAAAATATTATAACACATATTAATGTGTCGATATCACAAGTAAAAGTGTACACATCATTAGAATTGCAAATAATGGTAAACCCATAAACAAATTCCATCTGTTTTAAATATCAGATTTAATGTTCGCAATTTGGGTTGGGCGCCATTATAAAACCAATAGCAATTTATCTGGTATTTTATTGTTGCTAATCTCCAATGAAAAACTTTCGTGATACAAGCAACTAATTGTTTTTAAGTGCCTTCGAAAATTACAGTTTCCTGTAAGTGCACTTTAATTGTTGCTTCCCATGGAAACGTTGATGATTAAAGGAGATGTACACGTTATTTACAAAATGATGCGTGTTTTTACTTAATTAAATCTTAAATAATAACCATGGTTTTATAGAAAAGTGTATGGATTAATAATGAATTATTTTTTTAATTTAGGATGGCGGTACACCTTTATTTGTGGCCTGTCAGAGCGGACACATGGACGTAGTCAAGGAATTAGTGCAAAGGGGGGCCAAGGTCAACATGCACATGAAAGTACGTCTTTAAAAATATTTGTTTTATAAAAATATGAATCAGTTTCTACATTTGTTCATTTTAAATTTTTTATCAATTTCTGCATCTTTTTTTCAACCATTTGCCATTTTTATCATTTGTTTTTATATATATTTTTAAGAGCATTGTTTGAGTTTTTAATGTTTGCTATAATTTCAAATTAAATTATTTAATTTTTGATTTTTCTTATAATTTTTTTTTCATTATTTTTAAGCATTTTTTCGATTTTTTATAGGTAGGTATCACATTTAAGATATTTATGATTTTTTTGTTTTAAGATTTTGTTATACCTGGGTAAATATATTGAGATGTCCCCCAAGTAAAAATGATTATTTTTTATTTTTGGTTGTTTTACTGTTAGTCTAGAATGGGGTTTTTGGGAAGCCACCAGGTCTAGTAATATACATAACATAACATAAGTGGTTCTGCACTAATGCAAGAATTTTAAGAAATCATACATTTTGAATATTAGAGCTTCACGAAGGTTAGGATTTCGTATGTTTTTTTAAACATCCCTTTGTATATTTGAAATAAGTTATTGTATCTTTTGACACCTTAATATTTTTTAAAAATACATAAAATATTTATAAAAAATATACTTACTGAGATATTACAGTTCACGGTAGATAGGTTTTTAACTTAAACTTTTGAATCATAAAACAGCAACACTCTCATCTGCATATAAATTCTAACTGACCTTCAGGAATCACATGCATCTACAGGGTGTTTCTTTTAACTTGAGACAGCTCAATATCTCGAGAAATACGCATTTCACGGAAAAATGTCTTAAATAAAAGGTTAATGTGACCAAAGGGGACATTATTTGGTGCTACCGCTAGCTACACCCTACCCCTCCTTAAGGGTGAAACGGGGGGTAACTTTGGAAAGTCAAATGGAATGACCCGATTTTTTTCACAGAGTTTGGTAGTACATAAAAAAATGAATAACTTTTATTTGAAAGTTTTTTTCAATTTATCAACAGAAGGCGCTGTAATTCAAAATTTAAGAAAAAGGGGTTTCCTTGTAAAATGTATTACCTATTTGAAACGTTTGAAAAACAAAAATTAACATTAAATCAACAATAGTCGGCTCTGAAAACAATTTATAACAAATGTTCGAAATGTCGTCCTTCCATTTCGACACAAAGTGGAGCACCAGCGTGCCTGGTCGGTAAACGTTTGGTGCGGTACCTTAAGCGAACGATTAATCGGACCCTTCTTTATTGACGGTGCATTAAATGGCGAAAATTACCGGAATTTTCTAGAAAACGATCTGACGGACCTTTTGGAGGATGTACCACTAGTACTGCTCCAAAACATGTAGTACCAGCAAGATGGTTGTCCTGCACATTATTCGACAATTGCTCGAGAGGTGTTGGATCGGGAGTTCAATGGCCGCTGCACCGCGGTGGATCGGTAGACGTGGTCCAGTAATTTGGCCTGCTCGATCACCTGATCTTACGCTACCAGACTTCTTCCAGTGGGGTTACTTGAAAGAAAAAGTTTACGCTGCAATTCCTACAACTTGGGAGGACATGGTGGAGCGGATCAGGAACGCCTGTGCGGCGATACCGCCCGACATGTTGGCGCGTTGTGTGCCAGAATTCATTACCCGCATTCAAAAATGTGTTGAAATGGAATGACGACATTTCGAACATTTGTTATAAATTGTTTTCATAGCCGACTATTGTTGTTAATGTTAATTTTTGTTTTTCAAACGTTTCAAATAATACATTTTACAAGGAAACTCATTTTTCTTAAATTTTGAATTACAGCGCCATCTGTTGATAAATTGAAAAAAGTTTTAAATAAAAGTTATTTATTTTTTTATGTACTACCAAACTCTGTGAAAAAAATCGGGTCATTCCATTTGACTTTCCAAAGTTACCCCCCGTTTCACCCTTAAGGAGGGGTAGGGGGGTGGCTAGCGGTAGCACCAAATAATGTCCCCTTTAGTCACATTAGCCTTTTATTTAAGACATTTTTCCGTGAAATGCGTATTTCTCGAGATATTGAGCTGTCTCAAGTTAAAAGAAACACCCTGTATAATGTCGTAAACAGAGGTTTTTGCTTATTTAAAATGATTAAAGCGCCATCCGTTGCATAAAATTTAAAGCAAAAACAGGTTCACGGAGGATATAATTAATTTTTGTAACACCTACATAAATGGTTATAAAAATTATTTCTTTTAATTTTTAATAATATTTTATATTTGATTCGATTGCTTTGGATGTGTTTAATTTACTTAGTGAACTGATATTTTTAGTATGCTTTTACTACCTCAGATATTTGAAAACATAACCTAGAAAGAGTAACAGTCACGGAGGATAGGTTTTAGACTTTTAAAACATTGTAAAAAATAATTAATTGCGGTTGAAAATCTGGAACCTGAGCTGTAATATCTACTTAATTATGAAAGATCAAAACACAATAAAAGTGTAGGTCTAACTCATTTATTTTTATTAAATATCATGGGGTACACCATCGGGGGACATTTCGTGATATCTACCCACCTATATCACGGTGCTGTTCTGAGGGGTGATTTTTGGACTTTTGTTTTAATTGGATGTTTATTAAAAATATGTATGCACACTTTCAATTCTCCAATTAAAACTTGCGATTTTATTGAAATATTATCATAATTTTTTAAATCAGATTAAAGATTAGTTAATTTCCTAAAAAAAGGTCTATACATTTTTTATATCTTTTACTGTTTTGTTGTAATACACGTTTAAAGTTTTAATTTTAGGTTAAATGTATAGTAAAAATTTATTAAACAATAATTCTAAGGGTGCCACATTTTATTTAGGGCCGATTTATTCATTTTTAATTTATTTGACGAATAATTTCTTTGGATACTAGATAATGCCAAGACATGAAAGTTATCGGCCCGATAAACTTTACTAAAGATGAATAAACCGGTCCTTAGTTAAATTTCATGAATTTCTTCGTAACTTTTACTACAATTTTTCATTTTTGTTTATAAAAAACACTTTAAAAAACTAAACAAAAATTATAGAATACGTATACTGAAAATGACAATTCAAACGTCAAATAAATTTTTAATAGATCTTAGTTTCATGGCAACCTTTAAGGATATATTAATTAAGGGAACATAAATGTATACGTCAAAGGTTAGATTAAAAGTTTGAACGTGTATTGCAACAAAACAGTAAAATATATAAAAAAAATTGTAAAAACCTTTTTTTTAATTATGCAAATATTAAATATTTAAATTAAATCGCTAGTTTTAATTGGATAATTGAAAGAGTGCATAATATTTTTAATAAACAGCCAATTAAAACAATTCAAACCGTCAAATTTTTTTTATTTTGCTCTTAAAATTTTAGTTATGACCTTATTAACAAGAATATAAAAAAAAATTAGGTTTCACAGAAAGTCCAAAAATCACCTCTCAGAACAGCACCGTGATATACTTACTACTTATTTATTTATAATCTTTCTTGAAGGACAAAGCAACTCCGCTCTTTATAGCGGCCCAAAACGGGCACTACAAAGTTTTGGTTTACTTACTGGCTCAGGGGGCGGCGCCCGACGCCCGCCGCACCGACGGCGCCACACCTTTATGGATAGCCGCCCAGATGGGTCACGATCACATCGTCTCTCAGCTGCTTAAAGCTGGTGCGCATGTTGACGCAGCTAGACACGTAAGTGGCCATGTAAAAACAAAAAAAATGCATTTTTGACAATATTTACAAACATCTTCTAGTATGTGTAACATACGTCATTTTTTATGTTTTTTATTTAAGCATAACTTTAAAATTCATTGTTTATATTGTTGTTTACCTACTTTGTCAAAAAAATCGATTGTTTTTTATTTACTTTAGGATGGAGCGACGGCCATTTTTAAGGCTTCCCATAAAGGTCATTCCGCTGTCGTAGGAGAACTTTTGAAATATAAGCCATCTCTGGGACTTTTAGCTGTAAGTATATGGCTTTAAAGATTACAAGTTAATACCACCTAGTCTAGACGAGATTTTTAAAACTTATTTCTTAAATGTATAGTATAAAATATCTATGAATATTGTATTTTGTACTTTAAAATCACATTAAAAAAAATGTAAGAAGGAAATCGATTAAATACGATTAATAAAGGGTTTGATTTAAAATTTTAGAAACTTAAATAATTAGAAGATTTGGAAATTTTGAAAAATTCGGAAATTTGTCCCACCATTTTTTTAAATTTATGCCTCTGTGCGAATTTGTCCTTCCATTTCTTGTATTTATCCCAATGTACGAATTTGTCCTACCATTTTTTTAATTTATTCCACTGTGCGAATTTGTCCTTCCATTTTTTTCATTTATCCCACTGTGCGAATTGGTCCTTTCATTTTTTAAATTTGTCCTACTGTGCAAATTTTTCCACTTTTTAATTTTAAACTACCGTGCGGAATTTTTTTTAATTTTTGAAAATGTTAAAATTTTGGAAATGATGATTTATAATTGTTAGAAATTTTGAAATTATTTAAGTTTTGGAAATATTTAAAATTTAGGAAATTTGTCCCACCATTTTTTAAATTTATGCCACCGTGCGAATTTGTTCTTCTCTTTTTTATATTTATTTCAATGTGCGAATTTGTCCTTCCATTTCTTGGATTTATCCCACTGTACGAATTTACGAATCTTACTTACCTTAATCTTGAAGCACAGTACGGAAATTTTGGTAATTTTTAACAATCTAAAAAACAAAGTAAAAAGTTTTGAGAATTTCAGAAATGTATCCCACTGTTTTTTTTAATTTATCCCACTGTGCAAATTTGTTCTTCCTTTTTTTAAAATTTATCCCACTGTGCGAATTGGTCCTTTCATTTTTTAAATTGATCCTACTGTACTAATTTTTCCATTTTTTAATTTTGAACGATCATGCGGAAATTTTGGTAATTTTTAAAAATTTTAAATTTTGGAAATGATAATGATTTATAATTGTTAGAAATTTTGAAATTATTAAAGTTTTGTAAATATTTAAAATTTTGGAAATTTGTCCCACCATTTTTTAAATTTATGCCACTGTGCGAATTTGTTCTTCCCTTTTTTATATTTATTTTACTGTGCGAATTTGTCTTTCCATTTTTGGGATTTATCCCACTGTACGAATTTGTCCTACCATTTTTTAATTTTGAACCACAGTACGGAAATTTTGGTAATTTTTAACAATTTAAAACTTTTGTGAATTTTGAGAATTTCAGAAATTTATCCCACTGATTTTTTAATTTATCCCACTGTGCAAATTTGTCCTTCCATTTTTAAAATTTATCCCAGCGTGCGAATGTATCCTTCTATTTTGTAAATTTAGCCCACTGTACGAATTTTTCCTTCCATTTTTTAATTTTGAATTACTGTGCGGAAATTTTGGTAATTTTTAACAATTTAAAACTTTTGAGAATTTCAGAAATTTATCCCACTGATTTTTTAATTTATCCCACTGTGCAAATTTGTCCTTCCATTTTTAAAATTTATCCCAGCGTGCGAATGTATCCTTCTATTTTGTAAATTTAGCCCACTGTACAAATTTTTCCTTCCATTTTTTAATTTTGAATTACTGGGCGGAAATTTTGATAATTTTTAAAAATTTAGAAATTTTGATGGTTTGGAAATTTTGAGAATTTTGTAAATTTGTCCCACCATTTTTTGCAAATTATTCCCAAGTCTTTCGAGTGTTTCATAATTTCCGTGTCACCGTGTGACGTCACATTAAACCATGATGGAAAGATTAGATATTTTGTAAAATTTCCCACATTTCTCATATCATATTCATTTTATTCATTTTTAATATAATTTCTAGAATGGAGAATCGGCCCTTCACGCAGCAGCTCTATCAGGATCCCTAACGGTATGCAAACAACTTATAGCTGCAGGAGCGAATCCCTGTTTAAAAAATCAGGAAAATCTCACTCCTGCTGACGTAGCATCGAGATCTGACAAAAATATGGCAGCACGTGATTATCTACGAAATTGCTCCAATAGAAAGTAAAAAGTGACAAAGAAAAGTATTATATTATATGTAATTTTACGCCGAGTTAATTAGGTAAAAGGAAAAAATCTCTGCACATTTTGTATAATGCATATAGGTTTTTGTTTATTATTTATTTTGTAATTGTTGTTAAATATTTGTATTTATTGTCAACGAGACTAAACATGTGCCTTCCTTGAATTAAAAAAAAATATTTCTTCCCAAGTAATTCGCTCAATAATTGATATACTGTAAATATAAAAAAATCTTTTTATTTATATTATTAATGTACTTAATTTGTGTTATTTATTTAATTTATATTATATTATATTATATTAGTGCAATATAGGCTATACAAACTATTTTTGTTAATCTCAAATTGTTTTTCTTTTGTCAATAACAAAAATTTGGTTTTGGTACCTATGTACATATTAAATTTTTGTATGTATATTCTTTATTAATTGTTTAATAAAATTTTACGCCAAACAAAATTGTTTTTCTATCGATTTTCCTTTGTTTTTGTTTGACTCAAGTAGTATAATAAAAAAAATTGTAGATTAGTGTTTAACGATTGTTTTAATAATTAATTGATGATTTTTTATAACAATCGTTATAAACCATTAAAGGCGGTACGAGTAATAAGGGTTTTCAGTCAAAATGCCCAGTCGTTCGAGAAGGGTTGAATTGCGTAAAAATTGTAAGTATTTGTAAAATATTTTTTAAATTTTTTATTATTTTTATTGTAAGGCTAATATTTTTAATATACTGTTAAATACTAAAATTATTCTGTTCTCTATAGTTTTTTATAAGTATACTATACCTACTAAGTTTTTTTGGTATACAGGGTGATTCACCTAACTGATGGATTATATGTTTATAGAGAAGTAACTTCCCCCACTTCCGTTTATACCGGAAGTGACTGTGACTTTGTTTTCCCTATGGAACCCTATAAAAATTATTGCATTTTTGAATAATACGTAAAACTCTGTAGCTATTGCATTTTGAATCGTTTTTCTATCTTCAATTGTTTCTAAGATAATTAATTTTCTTTTATATTTTGTCAGGTTAAACACTTTAGTCGTTTTTTCGCGTAAATACCATGAAATACTATGGTTATTAAACTTAACCGTGGTTAATAGTTAAGGCATTTTTGCGTTTAGAGTGCGTTCAAAAATCCTAACTATGACGTCACAAATACCAGACCATAAAACTATATCGCTGAGCTAGTTATTCAACGTGGTTAATAGTCTTTCTCTTTTTAATATATATTTTTCTCTGTTTCGATCTGTCAAGAAGTTGTTTACATTTGAAATTTAAAATATTTTAAGTAGGTACAATTGCTCTTAAACCGAATTTAAACTTTGTATTAAAATGGTAAACGGGGTGTTGTCAGTAAAAATAAATGATAGGGTGCTCCATATTGTGAATCTCCACAAGTGGAGGAATTATATGCAGGTTTTTTTATATTCTTCCTTATTTTGTATTAAACATGTAGGAGAATTGGATAACGTGTATTAAAAAAACTAGTACCTATAGAAAAAGAATATACTAGGTATAAAAAGAGGCAAAGAAATTTATTTACACCGGTAAAAGCATAGAAATTAAATATAAATAGGTAAAAACACATTTCAAAAATTATAGGTTATGAACAAGTAAACAAATGTCAAATGTTAGAAACCTAACCATGGTTATATGAATTAACTGTGACGTCATGACTTATTTAACCGTAGTATTACATAGTATTTACGCGAAAAAACGACTTTTAGTCTAAAGTGTGCTTTGGATGTTTTTTTAATTTAATTTGGGTTTTCCTATTTTAATTCTAGATGTATCTTATATATATATTCTAGAATTTATTATTAACCACAATTTTGTGGGCAATTAACATAAAACAAACTTTCAGCCTAAACATATTATTTTATTGTTATATTGTTGGTTTGACGACCTTGCCCAAGCTTGCAGTCTTTTATTGCGGCTTATAAATTGATATTTATTACTTGGTTTCGATTAAAATTAAAATTGATTCTTTAATAAATATTTTATATCCATTACCGTTAGCAGAGGCTTAATTGCAATCGACCAACCGACAACATATTATGTTGAAATTTTGTAAGTAGAGGAAACTATTAATTATTAAAATTATACATAAAGTAAAATATTTTTTTATAGTTTGATAATATTTTTATTTATTACTAAAATTATAGTAAGTAATTATACCTAGTACAAAGTCACAGAATATTCTGTGACAAAGTGTCAAAAAATAGGGGATTTTTTTTTGTAAATGAACCTTAATTACAAAAATGACACTATCAACAATAATTAATTAATTATTGTTGATACTTAAGTAACGTCAAATTTACAAATTGTAAATTGCAAATTGCATTGTATCATTGCGTCAATTTTTTAATTAAGGTATATTCATACAAAATGTCCCCCTATTTTTTGACAGAATTTGGTCACTTTAACCTAGTAGAATATATTAAAATAATAATAGTATTCATATTCAACAACTTTAAACCTCTATAGGCTATCTATGCTGATAACGTCTATGAAATTTAAAATTCGTCACGCAGTGGGTTGCGTAGAAAATCTCTTTATCGACCGCCCCAGAAGTGTCAAAAAGTTCTGAAAAATATTGACATTCGCCAGTTTTAACAATTTTACTCTATATTCTTCAAAATATTACGAAAACCACTTAATTTGTATGAATAAATAATGCCTGAAAGTATTGCGGATTTAAGTAAAAGCAAAAAACCATCAGGTAATGTACTTAAATAATTTATAAATGCCAAACCTATTTTTTACACCCCTATATTGATTATTTCAAGGCTTTTGTTAATATTTCATGCGATAATTCTATTATTCTTGAGAATTGAACATCTGTGCGTTATTATAAAGCGCAATTATATTATTATTGAGTGTATTTATTATTTACAAGTAAATGCATTCAATATGCAGCTACTTATTACACTTCGATTGCCATTCAGTGTGCAATGGCTATCATGAGACTATGTAATATTGCACGTCCAAAAAATAACCTATAACCCACTTATTTTTTAGATTCCGCCTTTAAACAACAGCGGCTACCAGCATGGCAGCCCATACTAACAGCTGGCACAGTGTTACCGACGTTTTTTGTCATCGGAATTGCTTTTATACCGGTCGGGATTGGTTTGCTGTATTTTTCTGATGAGGTCAGCGAACATGTCATTGACTACACCGATTGCACAAAAAGTGTGGAAGTGTACCCTGGGAAGTGGAATACAACTCAGGAAAGGTGTTCCGAGGTTATAAAGAACAGTCCCAGTGATTCCTGTGTTTGCAAAATCAATTTTACTTTGCCAAGCGATTTTAAGGTAAAATAATTATTTTTTCTATAAAATTAAATTTTTTGTCATAAAAATGTGTTTTTTGCTTGTTGATTCAATAGACATTTTGGACATTTACTCACAAAACTTTTTGTAACTTTTAGGGTAAAGTTTACATGTATTATGGTTTAAGTAATTATTATCAGAACCATAGAAGATATGTGAAATCTAGAGACGATAAGCAACTGTTGGGTAATTTAGAGAGGGATCCTGCTGATGAATGCATGCCATTTAATTATTATACCAACAGTAGTGGTAGTAAAATCCCTATTGCTCCTTGTGGGGCTATAGCTAATTCACTATTTAATGGTAAGTTATATGTTGTTTTTTTTAACTTGTTTTATTTATTTAATATCCTAATAAATCATTTAATTACTTTTGGTATAAAAAAATTATAAAAAATATATAATCCATACCCAAATTTCAACATGATTAAAAATGCATGTTTTAGTCACTTAAATATTTGTAATGATACAAATTCTCTCTTTATTTAATTATAATAACTTAATGGTGAATTTTATGTTATTTTTTTGTAACTTGTTTTATTGATTTAATTTATTTATTTAATAGTTTATCTTAATAAATTAGTTAACAACTTTTGGTATAAAAAAATTATAAAAAATATATAATCCATACCCAAATTTTAACATAATTAAAAATGCATGTTTTTTGTAACTTATTGGAAATTCTCAAAATATTGGAAATTTTATGTTTTGTAAATATTGGGAATTTTGGTTATTCTCAAAATATTGAATTTTCAAAACTTTGTAAATTTTGCAATTTTTTGAAGTCTTACAAATTGCAAGGTTTGAAAATTGTGGAAGTTTTGCAAATATTGTAAATTCTTAAAAGAAATTTTATAAATTTTTAATGTTTAGCAAATATTGGAAAATTCTAGAAATTTGCAAATATTGGAAATTCTCAAAATATTGTTTATTATTAAATTCTAATAACTTAATGGTAAATTTCATGTTATTTTTTGTTACTTGTTTTATTGGTTAAATTTATTTATTTAATAGTTTATCTTAATAAATTAGTTAATAACTTTTGGTACCTACAAAAAATTATAAAAAATATATAATTCATACCCAAATTTGAACATAATTAAAAATGCATGTTTTTGTGACTTATTGGAAATTCTCAAAATATTGGAAATTTTAATTTTTGTAAATTCTTACAAATTTTGCAAGGTTTGGAAATTGTGGAAGTTTTGCAAATATTGTAAATTTACAAGTTTTGAAAATTCTTAAAAGAAATTTTATAAATTTTGAATGTTTAGCAAATATTGGAAAATTTAGGTTTTGGAAGATTTGCAAATTTTTTGAAGTTTTGAAACTTCGCAAATTCTAGAAATTTGCAAATCGGCCATTTCAAGCGGATGGACGGGACAAATCACAAAACTGTTTTTATAAAAAAAATTGTAGCTAATTTATTATATATTATTTTTGCATCAAAATTGTCAAATATATTCTTCTATTATTAGGGTATACATTAAATAAAAAAAATCGCAAGAAATATTTTATAAAAGTAGAGATAATTTCAATATTTGACAGGGATGGACGGGACAAGATAAATCTTTTTTTTGTCCCATCCACACCTTTCAATTATTCAAATTATATCTACTTTCATAAAATATTTCTTGAGTTTTTTTTTATTTAATGTATAACCTAATAAAAGAAGAATATTTTTAACAATTTTGATGCCAAAATATTATATAATAAATAATTTACAATTTTTTTTATAAAAACAGTTTTGTAATTCATGCGTTTCGCGCGCTTGAAATGGCCGAAATATTAGAAATTCTCAAAATATTATTTATTATTTAATTATAATAAGTTAATGGTAAATTTCATGTTGTTTTTTGTAAATTGTTTTATTGGTTAAATTCATTTATTTAATAGTTTATCTTAATAAATTAGTTAATTACTTTTGGTATAAAAAATTATAAAAAATATATAATCCATACCCAAATTTTAACATAATTAAAAATTCATGTTTTAGTGACTTATTGGAAATTCTCAAAATATTGGAAATTTGTAAAATATTGGAAATTTTAAGTTTTGCAAATATTGGGAATTTTGGTTATTCTCAAAATATTGAATTTTCAAAACTTTGTAAATTTTGCAATTTGCAAGTCTTACAAATTTTGCAAGGTTTGGAAATTGTGGAAGTTTTTCAAATATTATAAATTTCCAAGTTTTGAAAATTATTAAAAGAAATTTTATAAATTTTGAATGTTTAGCAAATATTGGAAAATTTAAGTTTTTAAAGTTTTGAAATGTTTTTGAAGTTTTGCAAATGTTACAAATGTTTAAAATTTTGAATTTTTTTAAACTTCGCAAATCCTACAAATTTGCAAATATTGGAAATTCTCAAAATATTATTTATTATTTAATTATAATAACTTATTGGAAATTCTCAAAATATTGAAAATTTGTAAAATATTGGAAATTTTAATTTTTGTACATTTTTAAAGTTTTGCAAATGTTGGGAGTTTTGGTTATTCTCAAAATATTGAATTTTCAAAACTGTAAATTTTGCAATTTTTTGAAGTCTTACAAATTTTGCAAGGTTTGGAAATTGTGGAAGTTTTGCAAATATTGTAAATTTACAAGTTTTAAAATTTAAAAAAATTTCCAAATTTTGAATGTTTAGCAAATTACTTTTGGTTTAAAAAATTATAAAAAATATATAATCCATACCCAAATTTTGACATAACACTAAAAAAATTTTAAAAATGCAATTTTTTGTGACTTAAATATTTGTAATGAAACAAATTCTCTCTTTATTTAATTACAAATTTGCAAATATTGGAAAATCTCAAAATATTATTTATTATAATAACTTAATGGTAAATTTAATGTTGTTTTTTGTAACTTGTATTATTGATTTAATTTATTTATTTAATAGCTTATCTTACTAAATTAGTTAATTAATTTTGGTATAAAAAAATTATAAAAAATATACCCAAATTTCAACATAATTAAAAATACATGTTTTAGTGATATGATACAAATTCTCTGTTTATTTAATTTCTTTGTTCTTTTTATATAATATTTCAGAATATTTTTTCCATACAATATCTATGGATTTTTATATTTTTCTGATTCCAATCTTTGCAGACGTTCTCAAGCTGAAATCGTGGAACCAGGACGTGGACCAAAATTGCAACATAAAACTTTTGAACACGGGCATAGCGTGGAACTCCGACCGGAAGACCAAGTTCCGCAACCCGCCGGGCGACCTGAAGGAGGCCTTTAAGAACTACGCGAAGCCCAAAAACTGGAAGAAGCCCATCTACGAGCTGGACGAGCAGAATCCGGAAAACAACGGGTTTCAGAACGAGGATTTGATCGTTTGGATGCGAACGGCGGCCCTACCCACTTTCCGGAAGTTGTACAGGAGGGTCGATCACGATTGCAAGGGGTTGAAGAACGGGTTGCCTACGGGAGAATACGAGCTGACTGTGGAATACAGTAAGTGCAAGATTTTAAACGTTTTAGGAAATTTTGCAAGTTTGCAAAAATTGGAAATTTTGTTCATTCTTAAAATATTATGAATTGAAAATTGAGCAAATATTGGAAGTTTGCAAACATTGGAAATTTTGCAAATTATCCAAATATTGGAATTTTTAGAAATTCTTAAAATGTAAATTTTAACATTTTTACAAGGAATTTTGAAAACTGAAAATTTTGCAAATTTTGGAAGTTTTACAAATTTTGCAAGGTTTGGAAATTTTGGAAGTTTTGCAAATTTTCGAAATTCTAAAAAGAAATTTTAAAATGTTTGCAAATTTTAAAATATTAGCAAATATTGTAAATTTTAAGTTTTGGAAGTTTTTCAAAATTTTGTAATTTTAATATTTGGAAGTTTTGCAAATTTTTGAAGTTTTGCAAATATTGGAAATTTTGGATATTTTCAAAATATTGAATTTTCAAAACTTTGTAAATTTTGCAAGGTTTGGAAATTGTGGAAGTTTTGCAAATATTGTAAATTTCTAAGTTTTGAAAATACTTCAAAAAATTTTAAAAAGTTTTGCAAATTTTGAATGTTCAGCAAATATTGGAAAATTTAAGTTATGAAAGTTTTGCAAATTTTTTGATATTTTGCATTGTTATAGGTATTTTCCAAATTTATATAATATTTTAAGAATTTCCAAAACGAAAAATTTTCAAAATTTTGTAAATTGATTTTTTGCAAATATTGGAAATTCTCAAAATATTGGAAATTTTATGTTTTGTAAATTTTTTAAGTTTTGCAAATATTGGGAATTTTGGTTATTTTCAAAATATTCAATTTTCAAAACTTTGTACATTTTGCAAGGTTTGGAAATTGTGGAAGTTTGCAAATATTGTAAATTTTTGAAGTTTTTCTAAAAAGAAATTTTAAAATGTTTGCAAATTTTAAAATATTAGCAAATATTGGAAATTTTAAGTTTTGGAAGATTTGCAAATTTTAGAAATTTACAAAAATTTGAAATTCTTTTTGGTTTGCAAATATTGTAAATTTTAAGTTTTGGAAGTTTTCCAAAATTTTGAAATTTTAATATTTGGAAGTTTTGCAAATATTGGAATTTTATTTTTTTTTCGTTTTTGATAATTTTGAGAAATTTTCAAAAATTTGAAAATTCTTGGAATATTGTAAATTTGGAAAATATTGGAAATTTTATGTTTTGTAAATATTGGGAATTTTGGTTATTTTCAAAATATTGAATTTTCAAAACTTTGTAAATTTTGCAATTTTTTCAAGTCTTACAAAGTTTTGAAAATTCTTAAAAGAAATTTTAAAATTTTTGCAAATTTTTTGAAGTTTTGCAAATGTTACAAATGTTTAATTTTTATTTTTTTTTAAACTTTCAATTTCTTCTAGATTCAATTCTAGAAATTTGTAAATATTGGAAATTTTCAAGTTTAGCTAAATATTCGAAATTTTAAATTTTGGTAACATTTATAATATTTTGAGAATTTCCAATACCTATTTGCAAAACGAAACTTTTTCAAAATTTTGGAAATTCAACTTTTACAAATTAGTATTTGAAATTTTGAAAATTTTAAATTTTGAAAACTGTAAATTTTACAAATTTTGCAAGGTTTGGAAATTGTGGAAGTTTTGCAAAAATTGTAAATTTCTAAAAGTTTGCAATTTTTGAAAATTGTCAAAAGAAATTTTAAAGATGTAAATTTTGAAAGTTCAGTTTTTTGTTTTGCAAATATTAAAACAAATTTTTTTTAATTATGCAAAAATATTGGAAATTCTCAAAATTTGCAAAATATCCAAATATTGGAAATTTTGACAATTCTCAAAATAAAGAATTTTAAAAACTTTGTAAATTTTGCAAATTTTAATGTTTGCAAATATTGTAAATTTTAAAAATTTTGACAAAATATTAAGAATTTTGTCAATTTTGCAAATTTAGAAAGTTTTGCAAATATTGGAAATTTGTATAATTTGAAAATTTTAAAGCATTACAAATATTGGAAATTCTCAAAAGAAATTTTGGAAATTCGTCGAATTTTCGTTGGCTGTCCCGTTAACTGATGCGCCAAACTATAAAAAAAATGATTTTCTCTATACAGGCTGTCTGAATTTTGTCCTATTATATAACCCTTTCAGATTACGATGTGAGCACTTTTGACGGTACAAAACGAATGATTTTGAGCACTACCTCTCTATTGGGAGGCAAAAACCCTTTCCTCGGAATAGCCTATATTGTCGTGGGTTGCGCATGCTTACTACTAGGCATCGCGCTACTATTCATCCACATCAAATGCGGCAAGAGGTTTGTAAACTTACTTTTAATAAAGTTTAGAAAATACCGCTTTATTTTTTTAGTACTTCGGAAATGATCAACGTTAATCCACGGACACCATATCAATAATACTTGTAACGACTAGGGAAATTAATTAATTACTTTAAATGCTTTTATATCATTCAATGAATGCAACTTTCCGTGCCAATACTGGGATTCACGTATAAAACTAAAACTGCATTTGCCAAAGATTCAAAGTTGCATTTCATTGACTTTTTGTGCATTCCTTTAGTTCAACACATAAGTGGCCTTCGACGTTTAGACTTGTCATTCCATTCATCATGTTTTCACCACACAAAAAACAATGAATTTTTTACAACACTGTTTTTATATCTATAATTTTTTCTATATGTATTTAGCGTTTTTTTGACTTTTAAACTAATTAAATTTGTGTAACACTGCCTTTAGGAATTTACACTGGAATGATGCTAACTATTTTAATCGCTAAAAAATTTTAATATTTGTTGGGCTTGATTATATATTTATTATAAATTAATTATTTATCGAGATATCTATATTATATTGTGATTAATTTGCACTTTGTGCAATCCGAGAGTGTTTTTGTTGTATATATTTTGTATATTTTATGTTAGGACTAAAAATATTTATTAGTGCATAAGTACAGATTATACAATATAGTGGTATACATTTCAAATATTTTATTTTATTATCCTTTACATATTGGTTAGTATGGACAAAGTTCGTTTTATGTTTTACATCAAGGTCTGTTTTATATGTCTTTGGTTTATTTTTCTACGTTTTTTTATGCATATCGTCGCCTTCAGGAGAAAATCACGTAACTCCACATTTTCATTAAAATTGTATTTTAGTGGCATCTGTTAGATAAAACTGTAACTAATTTATATGCAAGTTACAGAAGTCCTAAAATAAACCGTTAATTTTAAATTTAGAAAAAGAAATATACGTATCTCCAATCGTGGAGGAGCGTCCAGGGAATAATGCCTAACTCCAATATACAAATCAGTGCCATTGACAAGTATAAGTTATTGCCTAGTTATTTTTTCTGTATGTAAGTATGAAAGATTGTATAGTGTGTAAAGTTAAGGTACCATGAATAATTTAAGGTTACTTTTATTAACATAAAGTACATATTGGAGATACGTAATTTTCCATTAAACAATTTTTTGGCGGTAATGTGGAGATACACCAATACACCTTTAATATGTTTTTCTTTCCTCCTGTAAAATTTTACAACATGGAGTTAAGCAATTTTCTCCTGAAGGCGATATTATGGTGTTATTTTTCTACGTTTTATATGTCAATGGTTTATTATCCTATATTTTATGTCTATGGTTAATTTGTCTATGATAAATAATAATATTGTTTTTCTACAATATTATCTATACAATTTTTCTGTTTTAGAAGATTATAATCGTTTTTTAACTTATAACTTTTAACTTATAATACGTTAAAAAGATGACGTTTTTTATGTATACATAAAAATAAACCATAGAATTATAACAAACTAACGAAGTTATAAAAAAAGAAAAATTGACGATTTCTTATTTTTAAATGTTTATCGTTAATTTTTACACCCTATGGTTTATTTTTTTATTCTTTATTAGTCTATAGATATACGTTATGAAGATTATAATCTTCTTAGTAAACGATTTTTTATGTATACATACAAATAAACTAAGTAGTAACCCTGACCTGGAAAATGTATCTGAGTTATGGACGTATACAAAAAAACTGTTTAATAACAGCAGCCAACCGCACGCTATCAAAACCGACGGAACCTACACACGACAGCATAAAAAAAGCGCAAGTTAAGCTACAAAAAGCTATAAGGAACCACTCTCTCAAACCAAGCACACAAACTGCCGAGGCAAAACGCGAGGCAAAAACTGCAACACGGCTGGCCATACGCGAACAATACCTAGCGAAAAGCTACACCTTCTTTAGAAACCTTAACGACTACGAACCGGCTAAACGACTCTCACACACTTACAAACACATTAAATCTTTCAAAAGGACACAAAATCGGACAAAAAATATATACATCCCACTTGTGTCATGGGAACCCGGGAATGGCTATTATAACTATTCGCCTCTCGCTCTCGAGCCCCAAATAGGGGACAGTACGTAACGCAATGGACATTCGCACCCAGCAAACACGGGTGAAGCCGTGCAGTTGCTGGGGAAGAACAAAAATCGGCGTAAGTAAACATAGGCCTGTACGGGGTTCGAGAGTCAAGAGGAAATGGGGCTGGTTATACGTCTCTTATACTCATACTCATACTCATAATGCGTTTGTAGAACATTTCCGTAACTGTTAAATAAACAACCTAATTTTCTCATAGTAGACAAACGTAAACAACCAGCGTAAAAGGCGTAAGCAAATAAACCAATTCAAGCAAGAAGACAAAAATTTATCATAAATAAATTTAGGGTCACACGGCAGATCCCATGGGCTGCAGCAAGCATTTTCCGTTACTTGTCTCCATTAACATTGCCCGTATTCATTTCATTAAACATAACATTTATTTTACTTGAAAATGTTAAAATAACTTTAAAATATGATTATGTTAAGAACATATTTTACTCTTTAAACAATTGTTTTGTTTTTAATTACTATCATTGCAAAATTGTATTAAAAAGTGTTAAAAATTCTTACACGGGCAATGCTAATGGTGGTAGGTATCGTTAAAGTGTTTATTGGGATATCTTAAAACCTGCGAAGGGCGCGCGGCGTGGGGCAATAAGTCTGTCAACGGCAAGTGCGTAAAGCGGTCCCAATCGAGACCGAAATAAACACTGGACTGACAGAGTAAACTAACATTGATCACATAATTCTAACACATTAAAAAAAAGGGCCTAATAGCCAAACTCGAGATTTGTAAACATTAGACGACAGTATGATCGCGCTTGTGATTTGTTGGACTAGCGAATAAATCCAATGCCTTGGAATTTGATAAACAAAGACGGAACTCTACCACAAAACGTGCTTGGGACAAAAATTATTAAAAACAACTGACACACTTTACCAAGGGCAGGAGCTATCTGACCAGGACACGGACAATGACAATAACGAACAAGACAAAGACCTCGACTACACCCCTGCAGCGAAATAACAACTACCCAACTCCAAATAGTAATCCCAAATGTTTGGAGTAAAACTAATCGACTGGTCTAGGGGGATTCCGCGTCGTACTTAGTTTTAAGTCGGCGTAATTGTCCCCCAAAAACCAACTCCCTCCCGTCCCTCATCCACACCCCACCGAGCGTATAGCATAGGCTCGGCGAACCCGGGAATGGCTATTATAACTATTCGCCTCTCGCTCTCGAGCCCCAAATAGGGGACAGTTCGAAACGCAATGGACATTCGCACCCAGCAAACACGGGTGAAGCCGTGCAGTTGCTGGGGAAGAACAAAAATCGGCGCAAGTAAACATAGGCCTGTACGGGGTTCGAGAGTCAAGAGGAAATGGGGCTGGTTATACGTCTCTTATACTCATACTCATACTCATACAAATAAACTATGAAAGTTTCAAAAATTAAGCCAAACTTAAAAAAATAAAAAAAATACCATATGGTTTACTTTTCTATTTTTTATTAGTCTATAGATAAACGTATACGTTATGATTATAATCTTTAGCTACTCCCCCATTGATAAGCTGTGACTTTATGGCGTTTTAGTCACGGGCTGAAGCTAGTAACAGTGGCTTTTGGAAATTTGAGATGTCAAATGTTTATCAAATAAAATAGGCTTTAAATTCTTCTGTGTTCGTCGTAGATAAAGTATAGTATGTGACTCGTTTTATAAAATTCTCCAGACACTCGTTTTCATTAAACACTCGCTTCGCTTGTGCCTAATAAAACTCGTAACTAAAGTGGCGTTTATAAAACTTGATACATAATATACTATTTTATATACGTTTTTAATGTAGTGCTTGCAAATCCAAGTCCGACCGCGTTGGGAAGGATGGTTGTTCAATACCCGCGTGAAAAGAATAAGGATAGAATGCCAAACAGAATTTGATTGGTCAGAGCGTCAGGCGTGCGTACTGTAAGCGCCTTCTGTGTTTCGTTCTATCCTTGTTATTTTCACGCGTCCTTCCCAAATCGGTCGGACATGGATTTGCAAGCACTGTACATTATGTATTACATAAAAATAAACGATGGAGAAATACGTTTTTAATGTACACATAACAATAAACAATAGAAAAATTAACAATAAACTTAAAAAAAAATTGCAATTTTTTTTTCATTTTTAAAAGTTTATCGTTAATTTTTCCATCCTTCTATGCTTTAATTTTCTTTTTTTATTAGTCTATAGACAAAAAGTATGCGTACATTTCGTAATATTTATTAGTTTTTCAAATATTGGAAATTTTTGAAATTTTAATAATTTCGAAATTTTTTCGAAAATTGTAAATTTTTGAAGTTTTACAAATTTTGCAAGGTTTGGAAATTGTGGAAGTTTTGCAAATTTCTAAAATTTTGCAAATTTTCAATTTTTTTTTTAATTTTGCAAATATTGAAAGTTTAGCAAATATTGGAAATCTTAAAAATATTAATTTTTTTCCAAATTTTAGGAATCTCAAAAATTTGAAATTTTTTCGTTTGGTAATATTGGTAATTCTCAAAATATAGAACTTTGAAAACTTTGTAAATTTTGCAAAAATATTGGAAAATTTTAATTCCCAAAATTTTGTACATTTTAGATAGGTATCTAAAAAAATTTGAAATTTTTTCATTTTGTAAATAATGGTAATCCTCAAAATATAGAATTTGGAAATTTTGGACATTCTCAAAATATTAGAAAATTCGAATTCCCAAAATTTTGTAAATATTGTTAATTTTTAATATTTTAAAAATGTTAACCATTGCAAATTTTGTAAATATTGGAAATTCTCAAATGATTAGACATTTTGGAAATTATAAAAAAAAATTCAATTTTTAAGTTTTTGAAATATGTGAAGATTTTAGAGTTTAAAAGAAGTTTAACTACAAAATATGATACTGTATTTTTTCCTTAAAAAGATTGTAATCTTTTTGTGTATACTAAAAAATAAACCATGTATACCTACTTAAAACAAACCATAAAAGTATAAAAAAATTACTGATAAACTTTTCTATACTTCTTTGGTTTATTATTCCATTTTTTATAAGTTTTTTTAAGGATTTTTTGGGAAGGATTAAAAATTGAAGGGGAGGGTAATTGAAATAAAAAACAACAATGCCTAACCAAATATTTATTCTGTCAAGAAAGATACAGCAAACAAGGCGTGCTACACTGCCTCTAGAGACACTAACATAATATTTACATAATTAAGACACATAGTTAAAATAATTATATTCCGCAATGAAATATACACGTATCAATTATAAACCTCTTAATTTTTTACTTTAACATAAAGTAAAAAACGAACTATATCAATAATAATATTAATAGAAGAAAGAAAAGTAACGAGAGTGAATTCCAATGAAGTGTGAGTGAGAGTTAAGATTACGTCGATTAATAAAAAAATAACTACTGGGTGGGTATGAAAAATCTTATCAGCATCAGATGTGCACGGGCACGTGCACGAGGAGCTGCGCGCGGTCCGAGAACACCTCGCTGCACATCTCGCACTTGAAGAGGTTCTGCGCGTGCTGCATCGAGATCTCGGCCAGCTCGTGCAGCGGCGACGCCTCGATCATCTCCTGCTTTATCACCATCGCGGGCGGACCCACGTCCGGAAGTATGCTCTCCGGCTCCTCTTCCGGCTGCTGCAAAGGCTGCTGCTGCTGCAGGTGCCGCTTGTTTTTCGTTTTGCTCACGATCATGCCGCCCTTCACGATGCGCACCTTGCTACCTACGATTTTTTACAACGGACGATTTAGCACGATCAACGAAATGTACCAACAAAATAATTATTGCTGGAGATGTACTCTTTAAATTATAAGAAAAATTAGCTCAATACTCGCGCCCGAAAAGTTGAAAAAAGACATGAATTAAAGACTAAAAAAATTCATTTATTGTTAAAACCTCAAAATCGTTAAAATTTCTAAAAAAATCAAAGGATTTTCTTGAAATTACAGGAAAACCAGCTAAAGAACTGTTCAAAGAAAAAGTTGAAAAAAGTCAAAAAATTTATATTCCAGTCATAAAAAAATTAATCATAAATTATATCACGAGAACTATGAATTTAATCGGTTAAACTAGGCTCAGTATACTATAGTTTTTTGTTTGGTTTTTCTTGGAAAATGTTGAATGCAAAATACCGCGTAGCGCATGAAACTATTTTCCAAAAAGAAAAATCAAATAAAAAACTTACTGAGCATAGTTTGACAGATTAAATTTATAGGTTGAGTGATATACGTCTAGATTATTTCTCAAATTAAAGGAAACTATTTGACAATTCATAAAATCTGACGTATGTGTCAAAATTTTTAAATATTTTTTTAAAGAAAATTCCATTAATTTAAGGTATGTAATAAGAAATAATTGATATTTCGTTAACTAGATAAATTTTTAAAAAAATGTTTGTTAAAACTTGTAAATAACACCATAAAATCGTAAACAAAAATCCAATATGGAGGCTAAAATTTAATCGCTGTTAAATAGTTCTACTGATTTAATCGCTTATTTAAACGAAATTTATTCGAAAATTCAAGGCTTTTGATTGGTTCATATTATAATGAGGGAAAATCATCATAAAATCATATCAAATAAATAATCATAAGTCATTAAGTAAAAAATAAAAAAATGTCAAAAAATTGATATTCTAATAAGACAAGTAAAAAATAAATCAAAGAATTTTAGAATGATGAACAAAAATTACGTTGTATTTTTCTCCAAAAGTTCATAGAGAAGTTTAAAAAAGAAAATAAAATCAATCATAAAGTAGAAAATAATTAAAAAAAAAATTATGAACAAAAAAGGAAAAAAAAAATTGTAGAAGTATCTTTCTCAAAATTAATAGAAAACCAGCTTAAAAAAAAGTCGCAAGCTTAAAAAAGATAAACAATTTAAAAAAAGTCAAAGTAAAAAATAAAGGATACAAAAAATTATATATGTTAAAATTCTAAAAAGTCAAAATAAATAAAAATTAATCCAAGGATTTTAGAATGATGAATAAAAATTACGAAAAAATTGCTGCAGAAGTATCCATTTTAAAATTACAAGAAAACCAGCTGATAAAAAAAGTCAAAGAAAAAGCTTAAAAAAGTCAATATAAAAAAAGTAAAAAATAAAAATTTCTAAAAATATATTCAATAAGTCAAAACAAGTAAAAAATTAATTAAAGGGTTTTAGAATTGACAAAAATTACAAAAAAAATTGTTGTAGAAGTATCATTTTCCAAATTTTGAAGTTTCAAAAAATTCAAAAGTCAAGTAAAAAAAAAAGGAAGAGGAATATTATAAACAAAAAAATTGTTGTTTCTCCAAATTAAAAGAAAACCAACTGAAAAAAATTAAAGAAAAGGTCGAAAGCTTAAAAAAGTCAAACAATATAAAAAAAGTTGAAAAAAGTCAGAGTGGAAAATAAAAGTCACAAGCAAAAAATAAATCAAAGATTGCTTAAAAAAATCAAACAATATAAAAAAAGTTGAAAAAAGTCAGGGTTAAAAATAAAAGTCACAAGCAAAAAATAAATCAAAGATTGCGAAAAAAATTATCGGAGAAGTATTTTTTTCCAAATTACAAAAAAAACTAGATGAAAAAAAGTCGAAAGCTTAAAATATTCAAGAAAGTCATAAAGTAAAAATTAAAGTTAAAATTCAAAAAAGTCAATAGTAAATAATAAATTTAAGGATTTTAGAATGATGAACAAAAATTACGAAAAAATTGTTGCAAAAGTATCTTTTGCAAAATTAAAAAAAGAAACAACTGACTAAGTCAAAAAATTTAAAATAGTTAAAAAAAATTGAATCATGTTAATAATAATAATAAAAGTCAGTTATCAAATCAAAAAATGGTTAAATAATATAAAAAAGGTAAAAGAAGTAGTTTAAAAATGCCAAAGAAAGAATAATTAAGAAACAAATTGTTGTAGAAGTATCTTTCTTTAAATTACAAGAAAATCAGCTGAAAAAAAGTCAAAGAAAAAGAAGAAAGCTTAAAAAAGTGAGCCATGTCAATAAAAATAGTTAAAAGAGTTAAAATTTCAGCATTTTATTATTAACCGAAAAAAATTGCAGCAGAAGTATTTTTATTCAAATAACAAGAAAGAAAGTCAAAGAAAAAGTCGAGATAATAAAAAAATTAAACAATATAAAAAAAATTAAAATAAGTAGTTTAAAAATGTCAAAGTCACGAAGTAAAAAATAAAGGTCACAAAAAGTTGAAATTCTAAAAAGTAAAAAATAAATCAAAGTATATTAGAATGATACGAAAACCAGCTGAAAAAAAAAACGTAAAAAAAGTAAAAATAGAAACATAAATTATTTTAATTTAAAAAAGTCAAAGAAAGTCATAGAGTAAAAAATAAAAGTGAACAAAAAGGTAAGGCAACAACTCTTTCTCATACTCTTATTAGTTATTAGTGATAAAATATTTATTTAAATTCACCAAGCAACCAAGCAAGTTTTGTATTATTCCGACAATTATTATTATTATTATTAAGATTTTTCGCAATTAATGTAAAATCGTGCCTCTTCCATATAAGAGTAAATAAATAAAATAAAAACATCTTACCCGGTCCGAGAATGTGCCTGGTGGGTCTGCCGCTCCTCCTGGGCACCTTGTTGATCTTGACCAGGCCCACCGGCACGGGGCCCTCGCTCTCGACCGTCTGCTCGGCGGCGATCTCCTGCGGCTGGTCCACCTGGTCCATGTAGACCAGCCCGCCGCCGCCGCCGCCGTCGCCGGGCTCGTCCCCGTTGTCGAGGTTCTCCTCGCGCAGCAGGTTGCTGACCGCGCGCTCGGTGTCGTCGTCGTCCTCGTCTTCGTCGTCGGGGAACGTGGCCAGCGGCAGCTTGTCCGCGTTGTAAACGTGGTAGCTCACGTTTTTCGTGCGCGGCCGGATGCGCTCGCCCGTAGCCGATTTCAGCTCGGTGGGCTGCGTGCGCGTCACCAGCGTTTTGGTTTTGTGGCGCACCTACGATTTTGCACAGCATAACAAACATATTTTTTTACATACTGTCATTGACATTCAATTTTGTATTAAATAAAATATAATAAATTTTTAATAACATTAATAATCATTATGTGCGTTATTAAAATAAAGCTGGTTTGGTGCAAGACTATCCTAAGTACATTTTCAAAGAATTGGAGAAAAACACTTAAAAACATTTATATTTATTGTAACTAAATTGTTTTTAGCATAATATCTATTTATTTATTAATCTTTGGATGTAAAACCTTCCAATTTTTAAAAGAATGACGCAAAAAACAATTTAGTTACAATAAATAGAAATGTTTAATATTGTTTTTCTCCAATTCTTTGAACATGGACTTAGGATAGCCTTGCACCAAACCAGCGAGATTTTAACATTTTTTTGGGGTTATATATGAGGAAATTTTTTTAGGTATGTAAACTAGGGGTGGGCAAAATAATCGATTATTAATCAATTATCAAACCGTCGATTATTTTTTAATCGATTAATCGATTATTTTATAATAATAATAATAATAATTATTATCATTATTATTTTAAATAAAGAATGTAAGTACATTTTATCAGCATTTTTACTTATACATTATGTCCAATATTTAATTGCCATACCTAATTATCTAATCGTAATAATTATTATAATTAAAACAATCAAATATGTAAATAGAAATACTACGTATTTTTTTAAACTAAACAAAATAGTGATTTTTTAGAAAACGCGTTTTTATGATTAATGGGTTTTAAAAATGCTGCTAAAAATTTTAAACTTGTATTAAAAAACAAGACCATTAATAATTTAACCACTTTTTTGTAATAATCGATTAATCAAATAATCAATTAAGCAAAAAATCGATTATTCAATTATTTTAGAAAATTAATAATCGATTATGAATTTTCAAAATTGCCCAGCCCTAATGTAATTAAATTATTTAAACAAACTACAAAGTATCAAATAGTATATTTTTGGTACGAAATTTGATATTCGGGGTATTTTAGGCGTTTAAAAAAATATTTAATAACATAACATAAAATTTTGAAACACAATGACAAGGAGTAACTAAATTTGTAGCGCCTCTTAATGCATACATTAAAAAAATGGAAGCACAAAATATAAATACAAATATCTTTAAAACGGTTACTCGCATCAACATTTAGAAAGTATACGTTTTTCACGTAATACAGAAAAAAAAGGAATTTTTTGAAGACTAAAAAACAACAAAAAAATACAATTTTGTCAAAGACAAAATCAAAACCTTAAAAAAGCCTAAACAATATAAAAAAAGTTCAAAGAAGTTTAAAAAAGTCGAGGAAAATCATGAGGTATAAAATTAAAGGCAAAAAGTTTGGAGAAAAGTCAAAAAAAGGATTTTAAAATTATGAACAAAAAATGCTGCAAAGGTATGTATATTACTACAAATTACGAAAAACTAGATAAAAAAAGTCGAAAGCTTAAAGAAGTTCAAAAAAATTGAGAAATTAGGTACAAAATTAAAATGAAAAAAAGTTAAAAAGTCAACAAAGGTTAAAAAGAAGTAAAAGAAAAAGTAAAATATTTAAAAAAGAAAGTCAGTCATAAAAAAATTTAAAAAGTAAAAAAAGTCAAAATTCTAAGGAAAAAAAAGTCAGAGAAAGACAGGTAGAAAATTAAAAAAGCCGAAAGTAAAAGATGTTAAAAAGCCAACAAACGATAAAAAATTAAGTGAAATACAAGTTAAAAAAACTCCATAAACAATCTTAGTAAAAGCTTGAAAATGTCAAAACAAATGAGAATTTAAGTAAAACAGTTGAAAAAAGTAAAAAAAATAAAAAAAGTTGGAGAAAAATCAAAAGTAATTTAAAAAAAAAAGTCAACAAAGGTTAAAAAAAATAAAGAAAAGTAAGAAAAAAAAGTCATAAAAAGTAAATTATTAATACAGTCCAAAAAATTAAAAATGTAAATAATAATATGTAATAAGTGTATTTAGTATTTAGCAAATACCTATGAAACATAAAAATAAAAGTCAACAAAGGATAAAAAAGTCGAAAGCTTAAAAAAGTTCAAAACAGTCGAAAAAAGTCAAAATTACTAATTTTAAATTAGAGTCAGGTAGAAAATTAAAAAAGCCGAAAGTAAAAAATGTTAAAATTAAAATAAGTCAAACAAAAAATAGAAAAAGTTTAAATAAAACGGTTGAAAAAAGTCATAAAGTAAAACATAAAAAAAAGTTAAAAAGGTTGAGAAAGAGTTAAGAAAGAAAAGGGAGAACAGTCCAAAACTGTAAAAAATGTAAATAATAATAATAAGTGTTTATTTAGAAAAGGCTATATATAAATCAAACATAAAAATAAAAGTCAATAAAGTGAAAAAAAGTAAAAGAAAAAGTTATTATTAACTTTTGAATAGAAGTCTCAGGAATATGTACGAGCCCTAACCACATAATGTTCGGACACTTCATAATTTATACAGAAATTTTTTTCGTGAATACTATCTCAAAATTATTAGAAGTTATGATAAATTCAGCTTATTTTGGCATATACCCCTCGAAGCGATTTTTATTTTTAAAAAGTTTACCTTTTATTTTTAGCTTTTAAAAAAAGGCTAACTTTTTAACTTTTTTTTGCATGAGTAAAAAAAAGTTATAAATGGGCCCATTAAAAAGAACATAAAATATTATACAAACCCTGAAAATTTGGTAAAAATTGTATAAATAATAAGAAAGTTATAGCGATATATATATCTGCAAAATCTCCCGTTTCCTAAGAAAATTGCAAAAACTCTTTAAAAATAGCATTTTTAAATTACTTATACTTTTTTATAACTTATTTATTTTTTACCAAATTTTCAGGGTTTGTATAATATTTTATGCTCTTTTTAATGGGTCCATTTATAACTTTTTTTACTCATACAAAAAAAAGTTAAAAAGTTAGCCTTTTTTTAAAAGCTAAAAATAAAAGGTAAACTTTTTAAAAATAAAAATCGGTTCGAGGGGTATATGCCAAAATAAGCTGAATTTTTCATAACTTCTAATAATTTTGAGATAGTATTCACGAAAAAAATTTCTGTATAAATTATGAAGTGTCCGAACATTATGTGGTTAGGGCTCGTATATGGTATCATTTTGTATGGGCATTTTAGGAACGATTCTCGATGTTTTAAAAATGGAAATAAAATGGGCGATTTTTTCAATTAATAAATCTATGCCTACCTTCCCGTCTTCGCCGGTCTCGACGGCGATCCTCGTCTTCTGCGTGTGTATCATTTTGGGGCGCGAGGGCAGGGCCGGCTCTGGCTTGTTGGATTTCTTCTTGGTCGGCGTGAGTTGCGCGGGCGCGGCGCCTGCGTTCGCGTACACGTCGGCGTACGTTTCGCTGATGCTCGGCCTGGGCGAGGACGAGGACGACGCCTTCCTAGGTTTGCGCTGCGGCATCTTTTTGCGCTGCTCGCGCTCCTCGTCCGACTCCGTCATCAACGTTTGCTCCTCCTCTTCCATCACTATCTCTTCCTCGACGTTTCTTTAACAGAACCGTTCGGGTTATACACGCATATAAAACAATTTTTAAGAGCGGTTATGATTTTAATCAAATGACTTTTTATTTAAACCTCGAGTTAAATCAAAGATTATATAAATTAGTTTGGTAGAGAACTGATAATAATAAAATATCTTTGATATGTTGTTTTAAACGTTTTTAACAATAATTTAACTGCAATTGAATCGGTGAGATTAAGAACAGTACAAGTTCAAAATTTTTATTTTATTTTGACATATCAATTCCTAAAATTAATTTAAAAGTTTAAAATGCATTTTTGAGAGAAGATATAAATTATTTAAAAAAATATGATTATTATATTTTATAATGTAGTTTAAATATTCTCAACAATTTATTTTGAACTATAAAACTGATTTTATAAAATAATTTGTCAACTTTTTAACTTTTGGGCTTGTACTTTTTTTTTTTTTTAATTTTAGGAGATATAAACTATACAAATGAATAAATAAAAACAACTTTACACTGTACTTAAAAATAAGACAAAAATAAATAATTCTTTTTAACAAAAATATAAATAAATATCACTTCTTTTGTACAAATAAGTTACATTGACTAGTTTTTTAGCCAAATCGTTCGACGAGTTTTTTTTTATAATATTAAAAGTGAGGTAAAATTACTATTTTTGTATATAACTAAGCTAGAAATTTCACGATACTTAATTTTATTAAAAAAAAAACGCGTTGACAGATTTAGCCAAAGTGAAATGATGTTATATTTATATTTTAAGAAAAAAAATGTTAACCATTTAGTAAATAACTAACATTAATTGTAATGTGGATCTTGATACTTAAAAATTTCATGATAGAAAAAATATAAAGTTTGCAAAATACAGCAAAAGATTCTTTAGATTGTTTACTATTTTATGTATCATTTAAAAGAAAATTAAAAATCCTTTTGTTGGATACAAAACACAGTAAATTTTTGTCGAAAACAAACGAAATATAGCTAAAAATGACAATTTTGTTTTTAGGTATATTTTGTTGTTTTTTCCATTTTCAAAAAAATGCTTCTAATCCCTTTAATTATAAATATACACTTGGGTTGTATACTATTAAAGTACGATTTTATTAATAAATTTCAGTATACAACCCAAGTGCATATTTATAATTTTTTAAATAAATGGTCTAAGTGCAGAATATCACACCTAAAGAATATTCTAACTTAGTGGTAAAATTATATAAGTACATTTTACATTCCCTGGCGCCATTTCTTATCGTCTTTAAAAACCTGTCAAAATATTTTAAAATATATCTTTGGTAAAACGATTTAAGTGCACCTTTTACTGCTAAACATAGGGTATTATCTATGCTGCTAAGTCCTTGACAAGTATTTTAAAACAGACCATAGCATTAAGCCAAAAAAATCCAATTTAGATCAACCCCAACCAAGACCAGCTAATTCAGATGAAGAAAACGTTGTATTAGATTCTGATTATGAATAATACTTTTTGTTATAAAACTTACCCAAATTTTAAAAAATAAAGTTTTGTTCTAGAACAGTAATTGCACTTAAATCATTATACCACTAAATTATGTCTTACATGCATGACGATTCAAAACATTTTTGCAAAAAAAATTAATAAAAAAGCGAAATTAAAAAATTCCTAGGCAGAAAGACTTCGGTCGATAGCCTTTTGGTTTTTCCAATAAATATATTTACTACTACTAAAAAATTCCTTTTTCTTTATAATCCTTTTTTGTCTTTAAACAAAACTAAAATATTCACAGTTTTTTAAACTCTTTTCTAGAATTTTAAAATTCAAGTTAACTTTAAAGCCATTTATCTCAGAACTAACAAAAATGCACTTAAATCCTTTTACTTCTAGGCCCCTCAATTAATTCTTCAATTTTTATATTCTTATTTAAAATATTGGCGATCTGTAATTTTGCTTTATCATTGGTTTTGTTATAAAAATACTTGAAATATTTTGTATCCATCAAAAAATAAATTCATAGTGCCAGATTTCTTACTTTAGAGTCTCTAGAATACTCGAAAAATATAGGTGGTAGATCTAATAACTTTTCAAAGTAAGTTTTGTAACTTTTAAAATCATATCTACCACCTAGACAGATTTTCGGTTAAGCCCGTCCGCAAAGAAGTTTCACTGAAAAACTCACCTGTTGGAGATCATCTCGAGCTCGTGGGGCTTGAGCTTCCTCCTGCGCTTGTACTTCCTGGGCCCCACCTGCGGCTGCCGCTTCATGGCCGTGTTCATGTCGCAGTGGTGTATCAGGTGCAGGATGAGGTCCTGCGAGGTGGCGAACATGTCCGAGCAGACCGAGCAGCAGAACGGCGTCATGCTGTGGCTGTACTTGGGGTCGGGACCGGAGTGGTGCGAGCGGATGTGCTCGCGCAGCACGACGCGCTGGTTGAAGGCGCGCGGGCACACCGCGCACGCGTACGGCTTCTCGCCGGTGTGGATGCGCTCGTGCTTGCGCAGCGTGCCGCCGTCGGCGAACGCCTTCCAGCAGAAGCGGCACCCGTACGGCCGCTCGCCGGTGTGGATGCGGATGTGGATCTGCTGCGAGCTGCGCGACCCGAACGTCTTGCCGCACTCCCTAATATGTAAAGCATTATCAATTGAGGCCGGTCATAGCAAAACCGACAATCTCCACTTTTGTTCAAAAATTAGATTTTTGGCGGAGACTACTTCAACTAATTATCTATAAGATGATAAAGTTTATGTGCTGCAAAAGGAGCTAAATCCTGCCTAAAATCCTATTTTAAAAATGACATTTAGTGCAAAGTCGACAATCTCTACTGATAGATTTGCAGCAAAGTATACAATCTCCAATTCCACCATTAGAAATTAGTAATTTGTGTCACCTGATATCCTAACATTTTATGTTATAACGTATTTTAGAGATTTAATTTTGTGTTTTTTTACTGGTACATACTCTTAAGTTCTATTGCAGTAAATTGCACTTAAAAATATATTTAAAATAGGTATATATACGTTTTATTGTTTTAAGAATTATAAAAAAGTTATCTTGTTTATTTTGTGCTATTATACCATAATAAGTCGTAAAGGTAAAGCAAGAAAAGGCTGATAATGTCAAAACATTGCAAGTAAAACATTACAGGGCAAAGTGGGAAGAAGATGATGAGTTGTTGTACTATAAAAACTTTTTTGCACGAGGCAACCTGGTCCCAGATTTAGAAGAAAGTCCAGATTTATGTGGTCCAGTTCAGAATTTTCCCACATTGATTGTATAGTTAAATTTAATAACCATTAAAGGAAAAAAATACAATTGTTTTTTTGTTTATTTGTCTAAATCTCTTTAAACATTTACAACAAAATGAGCAATCTCCAGCAATTAATATCAAAGTCAGCAATCTCCAATTTATAATTATAGATTTCACCTATACTATGCATCCTGGAGACCTTGTTGTAGTTTGCTACTAGACTAACAACAACAATATTTCAATATAATATATAAAAAAAATTACAAATCTAGAATTTAAAATACTAAAATCAATTATCTCAATTTACTCAGTTTTAGTCTGACGGGAGATTGTTGACTTTGCTCTGACAGGCCTCAATTTATACCATTATTAAATTTTATACCTGGAATTCCCGTTAAAATGTTTAACTTGGGAATCTACCGGCGTTAAAATTTCAAATTATTCTATGTAAATCAAAATATATCCCTTGAAAATAGACTCACAATCGATATGGAAGCAGTTTTTCACAGTAAAAGAGAAGAAAATGTTTTATAGGCACTGTTCGCAAATTTTTAACGCTTTGTCAGTTAAACCTAGTTAACTGCACTAATACGGAGAAATTAAAAGGTCAGTACAAACATTCAGGGAGTAAAAAAAAGAATTAAAAATACTTTATATATAAATAAATAAAATCCTAAATATGCCAGTATTTACAGGGTGTTATGTAATTAATGTTATATATTAAAATGGGTTGTTCATAAAGAAGCACCTGAAATTTTTTTTTTCTAAATTCCAAAGTCTAAAAATAATTTATAATAACCTTTATTCTACCAAAAAGTACGCCACTGATCGACTAGGAACTTTAGGCTAATCTGGTGGATTTATTATGTTATGGTTGGTAACAACAGTGTTTCCAAAATTTCTCAAAAAAGTTGACAAACATTGTTTAAATTTAGCTTAATTACAAAAATGACAAAATTAACAATGCAAATTGTCAATTTGGCGTTTTTATTAATTGTTGGTTATGTCATTTTTGTACTGAAGGTAAATTCAAACAAAATCTGCCAACTTTTATGACATAATCTAGTGCATTTCTTTCAAATTTTAGGTTATGTTTTCAAATTGTAAATATCTGAACTAAGTGCTTTTGGATTTATTTACACAAATTAAATGTTTAAAGTTTAACCTGTGAACTGGTCCCAATTTCATCTGAGTAAACAGAAAGAAAGAAACTGATAAAAAAATTAATTTTGTGGTTATGGATTTCAAATTTCAAAGGTATTAAATTTTCTAATCATTGCTTAAGCTAATAGCTGGATGAGTAAATAAATACAGATCTTTAACCCTTATGCAGGCGCACCTCTTTATGCAACGTAGTAGGTCGCGCGGGGTGTCAGAGACACCCCTGATGGCAAAGCGTCCCTGAGTGTTATTTACATTTTTTTGGTTTTTTTTTTCAAAATTATCAAGTTAAGATGAGCTTAGAGACAATGAGAACATATTTCGTTGCGTTCAAATTTGATAAAAGATGACAAAAAAAAGAAAATGTCAAAAGACGACAATTTTAATAAAATAAAGCATTTATTTAAAAAAAGAAATTTTAAAAGTCATAACAATAATAAAAACCAAAAAAAAACACTAAGCACATAAGATAAGGTTTACTTTTACAAGTAATTATGATTTGGTAAAGAAAAGTCAATAGGGAGGCGAAACCCAGTCTGCTCAAAGTCACTCAATTTCGATACTAGAATTTACTATGGAATCCAAGCTTTCTTTACAAACATATTTCCTGCGCTTTATGCACATGTTTTTGGCACACCTTCTACTTTTTGCAAAAAGGCATGTCTAGGACAAATTACACATCTGCCCTTCTTTACCGGCAACTGATAATTTGAAAATTATTGGGCGGAGAAATTTTGGCAAATTTTTATTTGTTGTTTACATAAAATATTAGAACGAACGGAAACAAGCAAAACATAACGCAATGCTTTCAAGATAAAAATAAATATTTTGTCGTGCGTTTCAATTACTTTTTTACAGGGTATAACCTTATTTAATGTGAAGTAATAACAAAAGTTGAAGAAATCAGCTTAACAAATTAATGCAAAATAATTGTACGTGGAAAGGCGCACGGGGTGTCCACAGCACCCAGAGCCTGTTTGAAACAAAATATCAGACAACCTATTACATTAACTTCGAAATCGGCAATATAATATGACTGACAATACTTTGACAGGAAGGTACTGAAAGTAAGCGCCATTTATTCGAAACGAAGTGAGACCGGTAGGTATATTTAGGAAGCTGGGGTGTTTTGTACACCCCGCGTGCCTGCTTAAGGGTTAAGGGCATAAAACTTTTGTATTTATTGAGTTTTTATTTATTTTTTGTAAGAAAAATTTTTAGTAACAATTTTTTACATCTGGCAACGCGCAGCTACTTTGTGGGTTGGTATCTATGTACTCATAGAACACAAGTGTGCAGAGGTAAACCAAGTGTGTAACCAGTGGCGTATCACAAAAAATATAAAAAACTTCTAATGCATATTTTTTCTTTATCTTTTTAAAAATATTTTTTTAAATATTTTTCCTTTACTCCTTATGTCAGTATTTTAATATACCGTACCTTCATTTGCAAGTTATACATAGGGAAAATACATTGTAGGTGGAACAGACAAGTCGAAGTCGGCGCGGTCAGCGCGAAACGAAAATGTTCCCAGAAATTATTTTGACGAGTGGATGAGTAGACTAACATGCGACGTAACAGGTGACCTTGTTTACTGGCGATTAAAATTTTATTACGTCCAAATAATTTCTGAGAACTTTTTCGCTTTGCGCTGACTTCAACTTGTCTGGTCCACCTACAATGTATTTTCCCTATGTATAGCTTGCAAATGAAGGTACGGTATAAAATTAATTACATAACACCCTATATATCGGTATCGGCCGATCACTATTAGGAAGATTGATGTTTAAAAAATCCTGGAATGCTGTAAATTAAAATTTTGTAAAAGTGGTCGTACCTGCAAGGAAACTGCCTGCCGGAGACGCTGCTGTGGCTGTGCCGGTGGTTCATCAGGGTCCTGCCGTCGGGGAACTCCTCCCCGCACACGTCGCACGGCACCACCTTGTTCCTGTGGCTGAGCATGTGCCGCTTGAGGCGCGCCTTGTTGTGAAACGTCTTGGCGCACTTCGAGCACGCGAACATCTTCTCCTTCGAGTGCTCCCACGAGTGCTTGAGCAGCGTGCGGCGGTCCTTGCACGTCCTGCCGCACAGCAGGCACGTGTTCGGCGGCAGCGACTTGCCGTGCTTGTTCTGCACGTGGTCCTGGACGGCGTCCTCGTCGGCGCACAGCTCGCCGCAGATCATGCAGCGGTGCTCGGAGCCGCGAGCGTGGATCTCCGCGTGGGCGAGAAGATCGAGCGCCTCCTGGAAGGATTCGCCGCACACGTTGCAGATGTGCCCGAATTCGTGCTCGTTCACGTACTCTTCTTTTATGTGCACGCGCTGGTGCCGGCGCAGGTTGTCTTGCCGGTGAAAACTCAAGCCGCACGTCGAGCAGTAGAACGTACCTTTAGAAAAATCTTTCATCGATATTTCCAATTTGTTTTTTTTTATTATCCAGAAAGTAAATTAAATTATTATATAAATTAAAAAACTGGATCTTAATAAGTATAATAAATATATTATAATCGTCATATGATTGAAGTTATGATACGGTTGATTAAGTAGTATTACCTATATCATTTATTAATTTTACACTTTTAACTTAATATTTAATCCAAATAAAGTAATAAGTTAAAGCGGTTTAATATAAAATATTATTATATTTACAATATCTATCTTAATTATATTTTTATATTAAAATGTATCATACCATTGAGTAAAGAACTTTACTCAATGATCATACGATTTAGCTGTCACTATATTTAACGTAAAATATAATAAATAGTATTATATTTCTAATATCATTTATTATATTTTTTTCTCCGTGTACTTTAAAGTTATGATACTATTAATACAACCAGTATACTTCACTAGTCATATTTTTAATAATGAAACCGTTTTTTTTGCATTTTACGGTAAAACGATTAGAAGAAAAATAATTTTTATAGAAAGTTTAATTTCGTAATAAATTTGATTGTCAGATTATTTTATAAATAATTGACAGAAAAATTTATTAAATGCTCTATATCCTTTAAAATGCATTTTATTGCATTAATGCATGGAACCTTTTTTGTAGAAAAATGAGTTTTCTATACTTTTTTACTTTTTACCATTTTGCCGTAAAACAACAGGAATAATTGAGGAGCATCCGTGCAAAACCGGCTAAATCCATTTTATTCAGTTTTTGTTTTTTTTCTGATTTCGCATCTTTGGGTTCATTTGTATCGACAACCAAGATAATTCTGTTTAAATCCGACTATATCCATGTGACTTGGATACTACTACTAAAATTTGTTGTTTTTTCATGTTTGCAGTAAATTTATTTTGTTAATATTTTTGAATAATAAAGGTTTTTTTCACACTTTATTCGGTTTTTGAGCAAAACCGGCTATATACAATTTTTTTTTTGAAATTTTGGCCTTAATATAAAGTTTTTGAAAACGAAAGTATGTCTTATAAATCAAGTATCACAAAGCCCACAAACCTCAAGTTTGCTTTTTCTTTTATCTGTAAAGGCCAGGAAACCGAAAGTTTTTGCCATTTTTCCAACATTTTATTAAACTGGATATAGCCGGTTTTGCACGGATGCTCTTCAGTTGGTGTATTAAAATTTGACAGTACAATTTATTAAATGTTCTATATCTTTTAAAATATGCCTTTACTGCATTAATGCATAAAACTTTTTTTAGAAGTTGATTTTTTTACTTTTTACCTGTAACTTTAACCGTTTTGCCGTAAAAAAATACAACTAATTAGTATATCAAAATTTGACAGTACAATTTAATTAATGCTCGAATATCATTTAAAATATGTCCTTTATTGCATTAATGCATAAAACTTTGTTAAAGAAAGTTGAATTGTCTATAAAATTATTTGTATTTGTACATAATTTTAATACAACCAGTATACTTCACTGAAGTCATATTTTTAATAATGAAACCGTTTTTTTGCATTTTACGATAAAAAAGATTAAAAAGTAAAAATATTTTTTATAAGAAAGATTCATTGCATTATTCCAATAAAGTACATAGTTTTAAGAGATATAAAGCATTTAATAAATTTAATTGTCAGATTAATTTATAAATAATTGAGAGTAAAATTTATTAAATGCTCTATAAATTTTAAAATATGCCTTTTATTGTTTAAATGCATACAATTTTTTTTGTAGAAAGTTGAATCTTCTATAAAATTATTTTTTACTTTTTACCTGTAACCTAAACTGTTTTGGCGTAAAACAACTCAACTAATAAAATCTGAAAAATCTAAAATCCCCCAGAAGGAAGTAAACATGTCTGCAATTTTATTTTTTATTAATAGAAAAGCGTTTTAGCGTATGGCTCGGTTAGGGATTCCCCGTTATCGTTGCTTCCCATTTAAATATTTCTTTCGCGAGTTGCGATTGGCGTGAAGTTTTAAAATAAAAGAGTCTAGGAGACAATTATTGGTGAAAAAAGTTTTATTGTTTAAATGCATAAAAGTTTTTTTTTAGAAAGTTGAATCTTCTATAACATTATTTTTTACTTTTTACCTGTAACTTAAGCCGTTTTGGCGTAAAACAACACAACTAATAAAATTTGAAAAATCTAAAATCCCCTAGAAGAAAGTAAACATGTCTGAAATTTTATTTTTTATCAATATAAAAGCGTTTAAGCGTATGGCTCGGTTTGGGATTCCCCGTTATCGTGGCTTCCCATTTCTTTCGAGATATATCATTGGCGTAAAGTGAACCGTTGTAATTTTAAAATGAAAGAGTGTAGGAGAGAATTATTGGTGTAAAAAAAAGTGTTGTCCTACCGTATTTGGTGTCCTCGTCCGAGTAATCCTCGTCCTCGTCGTCGTCGAAGTCGTCGACGTCGCCGTGCTTGGTGCGCATGTGCTCCTTCATCAACGCAGCGTCCCAGAACATGTCGCCGCACTTTTGGCACTCGAAGGGCGAGTCGCCGCCGTGGATGCGCGCGTGCGAGGCCAGCGCCTTCTCGCGCGCGAACCCCACGCCGCAGTGCTGGCAGACGAACGGCTTGCGCGGGTCCGTGATCTCGTAGCGGATCTCCTCCTCCTCCTCGTCGACGTCGTCGTGCTCCTCCTCGCCGCCGCCCAGGTACTCGCCCCCGCGGGAATCTATGGTCAAAATATTGCGGAGGTGACGTTTCGCGTTAAGGAAAAGGTTATCTGTCATGTTTTTTTGTTTGACGTTTTTTCTATGGTTATAAGGCAACTTGAGAAAGTGAAAAATGCGAGCCCAGCCGAGATTTAGCTCGGAAGTTAAGATTTTTTATTTTTTTTTTACCAAAAATTCGAATTTAATTTGTTATTTTAACCTAAATATATTAAAAATTTTAAAACGCCAAAGTCTGGTGTGAAGTAACTCTGATATATTTGAAGCAGAATTCAAAATGCCAGTAAATTTGGAAAAATAAGTTTAAATAATAATGTTGTTTATAAAATATTTTAATTTTTATTTTATAAACAACATAACTTACCTACTACTGCTCTAATGGATTTAACAATTAAACATATTTAAATAATAACCCAACCTCAAAAATATTTATTACTTAAGAATATTAGAAATCCAAGAAGATGGATCCTAAGCTCTTTGAGTGTCTAAAGCGAAAAACTCAGTTTTTGAAATAAACAGAGACTTCATGCTTTTTTATAGTCAAAAAACAAGACATTTCAAAAGTAAACCTTTATTTTTTTTAAATCCAAATAATGCTCTTTTAATTAAAATTAAAAAAAGGACAAAATGACAAAAAGAGTTTTGTATAGGACAAAAGGTCCAGGGAAACTTTCGCAGAAGATTTACGTAGAAGATGCGCCTTACTTTTAAGAACAGAAAGCCATGTTTTTCTCAAAAGTTGCATTTTTTGGACAAAGCCTTTTGGAATTCTGCTCATTTGATCTCATCTCATCTGAGTCTTATAAGACCACAGAAACCACTATTTTCATATTAAATAGTTTAAATGATTTCAACAATATTTTTGGCTATTTATAATTTAAAATATCCTTCATTTTTATAAAAACTGAGATTGAATATATTTTTATTACTATTTAAGTATCATATGAATGTTTTTTATTCGAAGTTGCGTAATTACAAGTCTATTAAAATGGCATTTAAAAAATGGAAAAAAATCTGCGGCTCCCAAATAATGTGTTAAAAACTGAAAACCTGTAAGAAACAAAAATCGTCATAACTTCGTCAATCATGGAAATTTTGAAAAAAATAAGTTTCACCTAGTAGATTTTAAGTTACCAAAATTATAACAATAAAAGATGGTGATGGTAAATCAAAATATTTAATGTGTATGTTTACTTTTTTTCAAAAATTCACAGGAATAACCAAGTTACAACGATTTTTGGTTTTAAAAAACTTTTAGATTTTAATTAATAAATTTCATTTTAATAGGATTTTAATTACCCAACTTTTCTCCAATTCTAGCTCTTAAAAAAATACAGTTTATTTGTAAAAAACTAAAATTATGGCAATTAAACCTTAATTGTTAATATTTCTACGAAATTTTGGTTAAACAAAAATGCGATTGATAGTTTTTCTCTTTAAATTGTAATTTCTGTTTTTTTGCAATTATTTTTCATATTTTTATGAAAATATTTTGTAAATTCAAAAATGTATCATTACTTTTAAAATTTCAATTTTATATATTGTAGAAATAGAATTTTGGTAAAAAAAATATGAAATTTCCATTTCAATCAAATTTTTCAAATGTTAATTAAATTGATAAACAAACCATTTTATCACAAAATTATAAAATTCAGTAATTTATTCCAAATTATAGATATTTTTTAATTAGATGTATATTTTTAAATAAATAAGTGAAATTTTGTAATTTTATTAAAAAAATTACAAAACAAAAATGGTTTGTTTTAGTGATAGCAACAATATTAATTTTTGAGACAAAAAAAATTATATGCAAAAGGAAAACATTTGCCTTTTGCATTTAAAAAAATATCATTTTTAAGAGCAAAAAAATGTATGATGAATTTCGTTGGTAAATTTAATTGTAAAAAAAGTTCTTTATCAATTTTGGCATAAATCACAGACCTACAAACAAGATGGACCGGTTTATTTACATTGAAAAGAGTGGCCAGGAACAAAAATAAATATTTTCCCTCAGTTGTCACATTTGACTTTGAAGTTTCTATATTTTACGTAAAAGATACTTGGAATCCACAACATTTAATATTTTTTATTTGATTTTATAGTGAAAAATACCAATAGTGAGTGATATAAAAATGGTGAAGCAGTGCTACGTTTGTAAAAGACTTGGATCCAAGAATTTAAAACTTTCTTTTCATAGGTTAGTTTATTTACAAAACAAACCCTGCCAGGAGCGTAGAAACTGAATAAATAAATGAATTCACTTAAATTTTAGATTTAAACAGCCAGATTCTACATCATCTGGAACACTAACTGACAAGGTTAGTATTTTGTTATACCTATATATTTATATATATTAAATATAATTTTTACATAGGATTGCAAAACACAATAAAAAATGTACAATTTAATATTTTTATTTATCCCTAAAAACAGAAAGCCACTGGTGTGGGAACTTGTTTATAAATACCCCTTACCCCTTTACCCCTAATCTAAATAGTTCTTGGCAACAAAACATTGTGTATTTTGAATAGGAAAGGCCAGTCCATCTTGTTTGTAGGTCTGTGGCATAAATATTGTAGTCTTAGAGAAAATTGCGCAATACTCATTTATCTACATTTTGATCTAATCTGTGACTTTTTTCACCTAGTAAATTTTGAATTACCACCATTATAAAAATAAAAGATGGTTTATACTTTTTTTCAAAAATTCACAGGAATAACAAAGTTACAATTTTTGGTTTTGAAAGGTTTTCAGTTTTTAAAAAACATTTTGAGAGCCGCTTTTTTTATTATTTATAAATTTTATTTTAATAGGCTTTTAATTACCCAACTTTTTTCCAATACTAGTTCTTCAAATAAAAAAATACAGTTTATTTGTAAAAGACTAAAATTATGGCAATTAAACCTTAATTGTCAATATTTCTACAAAATATTGATTAAACAAAAATGCGATTGATAGCTATCAATCGCATTTTTGTTTAATCAAAATTTTGTAGAAATATTGACAATTAAGGTTTAATTGCCATAATTTTAGTCTTTTACAAATAAACTATATAGGTTTTCTCTTTAAATTGTAATTTCTGTTTTTTTGCAATTATTTTTCTTATTTTTATGAAAATACTTTGTAAAATACAAAATTGTATCATTACTGTTAAAATTTCAATTTTATATATTGTAGAAATAATTGTGGTTATTTTTTTAAATATAAGAAGAATTTTGGTAAAAAAATTAAAATTAGCATTTCAATCAAATTTTTTAAATATGTTAATTAAATTGATAAACAAAATTATAAAATTTCAGTAATTTATTCCAAATTATAAATATTTTTTAAAGAATCTATTAGACTCCATTGTATATTTTTAAATAAATAAGTGAATTTTTGTAATATTATTACAAAAATTACAAAACAAAAATTGTTTGTTTTAGTGGTAGCAAAAATATTATTTTTATGAGTAAAAAAAAATGTTTGATGAATTTTGTTTGTAAATTTAATTGTAAAAAAGTTCTTTATCAATTTTTGCATAAATATTAAAGTCTTAGAGATAATTGGGCAATTTCATATCTCCAAAACTGGAATATTTATGTAATAATTAATAATAACTTTTTTATGCTGCAAAAAACATATTATATACGTAAATTTGTCCCTCTCACTCACCGTACTCGTTCTTGGTGTTCTCCATCTGCTCCATGAGGCGCATGTCCTCGTCGACGTAGTTGTAGTGCTGGCGCGAGCTACCCGCCACGCCGCCCTCCTCAGCCTCGTAAGCGTCCTCGTCGAGCTCCTCCTTTATTACGCGCTGCGGCCGCTTGCGCTTCTTCTGGAACGACTTGTTGCGCTTCTTGATGCGATCGCCGCCGTCCGAGTCTTCGAGCGTCTGCTCGTCCTCCTCGAGCCCGTCCGCCTCAGGAATGTACGCGTGGATCTTCAGGTGGTTCATCAGGTCGCACTTGCGGATGTACCGGACCTATATTTTTAAGTAAATAAATTTATATTTTGTAATTTTATGATAAAATTACAAAACATTGTGTTTGTCAAAAAAATCTTCAAAAAATTTATAATATTTTATAAATTTTCAAGACCAACTTTAAATAAATTTTCTAAACTCACCCCACATAGATTGCATCCGTGCGGCCTGTCAGTTTGATGAGCAACCATGTGATTCATCAAATTCGCCTTTTTTCTGAACCTCCTGCTGCAAAAATCGCAAGGGTACGGTCTCGCGGCGGTATACTCGTCCTGATCCGGAAGCGGAACGTCGCAATCTTCCGGCGCCTGCCCTTCCGGGCCGCCGACCGCCTCCTCCGAACCCACCACTATTTCTTCCGGGCAACTCTCACCTGAAAAAGTTTATAATAAAAACGTCCCCAAAAACTTCCTGAGACAACAAAAAACCAAAGAACAATAAAAACATTCTCGACCTCGGTCAAAAACTATTATTTATCTTTAAGAAAACTGTGATAACTGCCTGTACCTACTTCCACATATTTATATTATATACTTTATTTATTTTATATTTTAGTGTTTTTATGTAAAATTTGTTGAATATTTTTATTTTTCTACTATTGTACCTGCTATGGAATCATGTATTCTTTTTGGGTTTATTAAATAAATTAAAAAAAAAAACCTTCTCTCAAACTTACCCCACTGATCCGTAACAACCTCCTCGGAAACCTCCATGTACTCCTGATAAGCAGGGTCCATCTGCCCTGGCTGCATCACGACAACCTGCCCCTCGTTCAGATACATTATCTCCTCCCCGTTTTGGGGGGTCTCCTCCACGACCTCTTCGGCCACTTCCGAGAACTCAGCGGTCTCCCCTGGGAGGATGTCGCTTTCTATGCCGCAAATTACCTCCTCCCCTTGGACCACTGCCGACGAGTCCTCCCAGTGTAACCCAAAAGATTCCTCCATTGTTATGTGTGCGAGAACATTATCAAACTGAAAATGTATATGTCTTTGAATTGAATTTTTTAAGCATGACCAAACCGCATAAATAAAAACTGCTTTGTTATAAAATACACTGGACTTTAGCATTACATATGAAGACCTTAGAAGCCAAGGGGTATAAATACATTTTGTTTAGTTTTGAGATAATCATGTTTAAAGTAAAAAACACTTGTAATTTAGAGCCAAAATTTGTTTTGACTTTGTTTTTCAAGATGTCTAAGCTTAGAATTCAGTTTATTTTCCTTGCAAACCAAGTAAAACGTACCATTTACTTTCTTTTTATGTACATAACTACATTTTTTTTAAATGTCACTTTTATCCCTTGGCTTCTAGGGTCCTCATATAAAAGAACTGTGTAACCAATGGTATCGCTATTGTTATTTTGCGCGATACAAACAAGCAGCGTGTAGTTTTGAAGGTTATCTTTCGTCACGGTAAGTATTTGCAAATATATAATTTTAAAATAAAAATATTGTATTAACACTAGAATGAAGTCTTTTGGAGATAAATAGTACTTAACATACCGAAGTGTAGCACCACAATTTTTTTATAAATCGACTTCTTTCGCCACGATATTTCTAAACTATTTTTCATGACAAGCGCAACAAAAATTCGACTTTTGCAAGTTAGCGAGAAAAAAATGGTTTATATTTACGGGTTTTTATACATTCTTGAGCGAAGCTTAGTGAAGAAATTCCAAAATAATTTTATTTAGTACTGACATTACAAACCTTGTTAAATTAACTAACTATGATATAAAAGAGGGTAAACAAGGAATTTAACGAACCACTAGACCATATGGGATATACTTTATTTTAAACAAAACTTCTTATTAGATTTTATTTATAATTCCGCATGCGTGACTGTGGCCATAATGAATTATTTACACAGTTTATTACAATTAAATAAAAATAATTTTTTTAAAACATATTTTTGTTTTTTTAATATCATTTTTATTATTCTTATGAAAAAATCTTTAAGATTATTATGTCCTTTAATTAATTTGCAGTTTTTTAACTACAAATATTAAACAATTGATTGTTGATGTATTTTTTGAGCAATATTTGTACAAAATACAAGGCCTACTATGTCAGTTTTTAAGAGTAAATTTTTAATAATTCATTTTAGCGATTTTTTTAAACAAAATCCAAGCACAGCACTGGATTCACCACCCCTCAAAACGACCCTTTGCTAAATTTTATTGAAATATTTTAAGTAGAAAAATGGACAATAATAACTACAAAAATTTCTTTTGTCAAGTTATACATGAAAAAACATTGAAATAAAATTAAACTTATAGTAATAGTACCATGTTTTTGTCTCTTAGAAAAAATAACGTTTATATGGTATATTAGTCAAAAATGACTAGTTACTACAGTTGCTTTTTCACTTATACCATGGTTAACCATGGTATCCCCAACATTTAACATATGTAAAATTGTCCCCTGAATCCGAAAATACCTTCAAAAATTATTAAAGTAGAGCAGTTTTTGAGTTATATTCAATTCCACATTAAATGGAAAATTGACTTTATCTTAAAAACTCCTCTACTTTTATAACTTTTGACGACATTTTCGGATTCATGGGGCAATTTTACATGGAAATTAACTTCTAAATGTTTGGGATACAAATTGCTATTGACGAGAATTATGACAATTAGTCATTTTCAAAGAGCACAGATTTTTAAAAAAACTATATATTTAGAAAGATCAATGTATCACTGCCATCCCCTGTTACATTAATTGTTATTTTTAAGTAATTTTACCCCATAGTGCATAGAAATGTCGTTTAATGTTAAAAAATCATAAATCCAAAGTAATTTAGGACAATTCAACCAAATTGTATCCAAAAAATGTTGGTTCTATAGTTATTAACTTGTCAATTAAATACCTAAACAACTATAAATTAGTGTGATAAACTTTTAAAATGCAAATTATTAAAACTTTCACGCGAAAACCGTGGGTATGGCAACAAAGCGTCGCAAGTGCCATAAGGCAAAGGCTTGACCTCAAAAACCCTGTAACAATAATTAAAAACGTCACAGTGATGTTGCGGACATGTTGTCTATAAATAAAGCGGTTAAACCTCCTTGAACTTGCGTTTTCCCTGAATAAATAAAATAAATGTTAGGTTATTGATATTTTGACAATTGAGGTTATGCATAAATTGAGGTTAATGCAGTTTACGATTTTGAAAAATGTAAACAAATAAAGCAAAGATAATTACGGCAATTGAAATCGATGCACGGAAGAAACTGAAAGAAGGCGTGTGTCGCGAAACGCGAATTAACGCGTTAAAACTGTATGGGAATCGTCCATTGCATACCAATCTTTGGGCAAAGAAAGGGTTTCCTATAATTACATCACTGTCGATTTACGTGAAATACACGCGTTGCAGAGAATTTAAAACGTTCTTTTGTTGCGTCGCGACGGTTTTCGCGTGAAATTACGCTAAAATCAGATACTTACATGAAATTAAAACACAAAACGACAACCTAACCAAGCTTTACGATGTTTCAGCGTCGACCTTCACTTTACTTTAGCAAATGGCTGCTTGTCGTTTGGACTGTTGTGATTAGACGGAATTCAATAATTTCGCCGCTACTCGACGCCGCTGCAAAACGGCGTATCTCAATTAAATGCACGATTTTCGAGATAATCCCGTTAGGTTAATGTTGTCACTAATATTTTAATGGTTATACATCACCGAAAATAGGTTAGCCGATAAATAACCTACAACAACCGCCAAAACATCTGAACGCTTCCGCTGCAAACATGGCGGGCGATTTGAAATCGCAGGAAGTTGAGCGTGCGCGGGAAATTTGAAATTTGTTATATTTTGAAATACGATATTGGAACAAGGATAACAGTTACTAATATCTGTGTAAATGATATAGTCAGATATGTATATCTGTATACTTATTATAATATGTTGAAAACTACAATATAGAACGGGAAATACTAATTACTGCTAGTAAATTTATATAAAAACAAATTTAAGGATATTTTTGAAGAATTTGTAGAAACAATTTTTGAGTGAGAAAAATCGAATTAGGAAATTTGTCCCTGGATTTCACTTAAATCTGTATGATTTACAATGATTTTCTTTTACATGAGTTAGTTTTATTATTAAAGGGTTATTTTTTCCTATTATACACTGAATAGGTAGGTATTATCTCTAGATTTGAGGTAAGAAGTTCACCCCCAAGAATAGCTTCTTGACACACTGCATGTGCAGCAAATTTAAAACTCCAATTGGAGTTGTAGCTTTTTAGGTATATTTTGTTGTTTGGGGTTAAATGAAACACAATATATAAATATTATTTTTATTCATGAAAGAGTAAAGGTGGAAGAATGTGCAATATTAAATAAATACACTGTAGGTAAATAATTTATGTTAAATAATAAAAAGTCCATATAATAAGTTGTAAAACTAAAATATCAATCTAAATTGAAATATTTATACAGGTATAACAATAATTTACATGTTTTTTAAATTGTATTGATAAAATTATAAAATAGAAAATGTACAACATAACCTCCAAAATTGCCTTACGAAATACATTTTCTATTTGGATATATGGCTTTACATTCAATAATATATACATAAGCTATATATCGCAACACTACTATGTATTAACATGCTTATTATGTTTTTATGTGACACGGCAATTATTTACAATTTTACGAAGAAAATAAATGTTAAAATTTTGATCTTAATTTTAGAATAAATTAATGGCGTTGTATACTTAAAATTAATACTTGTGGAAAACAATGAAAAAAGTTATGTAAAATGTAAAATAAATGCAAGTTTTAAATTTGGTCAAAAGTGACATTTGTTTGAGGTTAAAATGACGTTTGAAGGAGTTAAGGGAAAATACGTCACAGTCATGTTTTGTTAATAATGACGTCATCTTTACCTTTGTCGATATTAATTTAATGGAAATAATTGGCAGTTGAATAAATTATTAATCTTTGGTCCAGTAGAATTTCTTGACCATTCTTAAGACAATTCCAGATAAAACACTGTCAAAGAAATGTTTGTTTTTGTCGTAGCATTAAACAGTGTAATTTCCTTTATAAATTACGATATGCTTATTTTTATTTACCCTAATTCTTACATTACATTCGATAAACTTTTTGTTGCTCTTATAAAATCTAATGAGATTCATTTCATCCAAAACTTAGTTAAATAAGAAGCTTATTTACAAGTGGCAAAAATTAATGTTCAATAATAAATATTTTATTTTATAATTAGAAACAATATCATTATCAATATCACACAGTATAGCAGCCATTCAAAGATCAGAGCAACAACCAAGTTTGAGTTAAGGAAATTTAAAAACACATTTTCTTTCTTTCAATTAATTAATAAAATTGAATTTTAACGGGTAATTTTGGTATTTTGACGGGTAAGTCGGTTTTCATTAACAGGTAAGTGATTTTAATTACGGGTAAGTTGGCAATTTAACGGGTAAGTTACGCGGTAAGAAAGAAAATGCGGTTTTAATTTCTTACAATTTTTTTTAATTGAAAATGATGTAAGGTATGTGCTACCTTGTTCAATTATCATGATATAAAAAATAAATGTTATGATAATGCCCTTTGAGAAAAACAAAAAAAGTCAATAAATAAATAACCCTAAAGCTAAAATTCTACACCTATATTGACATCACTATTGTTAATTACATGGACAATTTGCGAAAAATGTTTCGTCGAAATTTTTTCGCACTTTGTCGTTAATTTTTTTCATTACATTTAATTAAAGTCTTTATATATTTGCCATACATCTAGCCTGCCCGGGTTTGCCTCTCAGTCGTACTTTACACTCATTCCTTTAACAAATTTCCCAATATTGTATCGTTCAAATAAAAAATTATACGCAAAAAACGCATATTTTTAAATTTATCAAGTGAAATTGGAACGATTTTCTTTGTATACAATTGTTTCTATAAAATACTTGATAAATACAAAACCGCCGACTGGCCTTTTACAACCAGGCAAGCAAATAAACATAAAACAATAATTCTAATCAGTTTAATGTTAATAAGAGGTGTCGCAAGGCTCCTACTTGGGACCCTCTTCGTTCACAAAACGTGTTAACGACCTGTAGAACGTTTAACTTTGCATTTTAACGAATTTAAATGTTTAAAAAGCAATTTTAAACGTAGTCAAGCATAAAACTGATTAGTTACAACCGAAAAATATATACAAGGTGTCCCTAAACTTAGTGGCATAAATTTAGGAAAGAATGAGCAAGTCAAAAAAAGACAAAAACCTCAATAAATATTTTTCCTAATCACTTATGTACAGTGTTACTTATAATGTCAATTTTTTTAATATAACTTCTTCTACCCTCTATCTTAGAAACATAACGGCCATTTCAAGCTGATTTCAAAACTGATTTTATTTAAAAAAATTGTAGATTATTTATTATATAATATTTTGGAATCAAAATTGTCAAAAATATTCTTCTTTTATTAGTTTATACATTAAATAAAAAAAACGCAAGAAATATTATATAAAAGTAGAGATAATGTTAATAATTGAAAGGTGTGGACTGGGCCAAAAAAATCAACAATTTTTTTATAAGTATATCGAAAATATGGTTTGGGGTGACAAAAAATATTATTGTGAAAGTTTGAGTCCATAATATTAATATTAGGAGGTCTATCATCGCAATTTCTCAGCAAGTTTTAGTCTCAGAACTCGCAAACCATTGAGTTTAACAAAATTGACTCAGAAATATTTTTTTAAGAAAATTAAATGCTCTACAAAAAAGGTTAAAATGAAATTTTCCGTCAGATGAACCGTTTCCTTAAAATCATGGCTTAAAAATTGGTATAGTTTTACATTTTGATCTTTTAACTTTGGAATTTTGTAATTCATGTAAAAATCAGTACCCATAAAAAACCGATAAATATTCTAATGGAAAATCAAATGCTTTACAAAAAAAGCCTCAACATTTTTGGCTAAATTCACTCAATTAAGGTTAAAGTTGAAATCAAAACGAAATTTTTGTTTTTTCCTCTGTAGATTCATTTTTTTATGGATGAAACTTTGATTTTTTTCTTTATAAATATGTATTATATAACTAATTAACAATTTCCAATAAAAAACAATATAATTGTTATTATTTAAACGATTAAATAGGTAACACTGAAAACAATATTTTCTAAAGAAAATAGCTTCTTAAAGCGTGTTATTTTTTTTTAATTTTTAGTTAAAAGACTTTTTTTGTAGAACATTTGATTTTCCATAAGAATATATATCGGTTTTTTCCGGGTACTGATTTTTACATGAATTACAAAATTACAAAGTAAAAAGATCAAATTGTAAAACTATACCAATTTTTAAGGCATGATTGTAAGTAAAGGGTTCATCTGACGAGAAATTCCAATCAAACCTTTTTTGTAGAGCATTCAGTTTTCATCAAAAAATATTCCCAAGTCAATTTTGTTAAACTCAATGGTTTTGGAGTTGTGAGACAAAAAATCGCTCAGAAAAAAAAATCTAAAATTTTAGTATTAATATTATCAAACTCTCACCATATTTTTTTTTGTCACCCCAAACAATATTTTCGATGTACTTTACAAAGAAAATAGTCGATTTTTTGGCCTAATAAAAGAAGAATATGTTTGACAATTTTGATGTAAAAATAATAGATAATAAATTAAATTAAGTTTTCGTCTTTTCTTGACTTGCTCAATCTTTTCCACTAAGTTTAGGGGCTGAAAAACAAAATATACGCAGTAGTTATGGCTTGTGAGTAGTGTCAAATGTTTGGATAAAATCTGTACTTACCCGTGTATATTTTATTTCGGCCCTTAAAATGAAAAAAAACCAACTTAAATAACAACAGGCATTTGTCCATTCACACAAAACGTTCATCCGTCAGCACGCAGAGCCTGAGAGCGGTTACGTCACGCTCGAGTGGAGCCCTGCCGCCTTCCTTCGATCGAAAGAGGGCGCTGGGGTCATCAGAGCACGACGTCGGGCAGACTATGCGGCCACTAGGCGCGCGAATCGTTGTCGTGCACGATCTTCCTCTCCTTGTAGTAGATCTCCTCGCTCTCCTTGTCGCACATCAGCAGGATGACGCCGCCGAAGAGGAAGATGGCGGCGCCCCAGCCCACCCCGTACGCCCAGCCGAACTCCCATATCGTCCGGTTGCCTGGAATTACACGTTTAAAAAAAATCCCTATGCCGGGGAATTTTGCACGAGCTGGCAACGCTGGCATTTGCAAGAAAGCGATTGATACTTTTTTTAAATTTTGTCTACATCTAAATGCAGTACTTTTTTCAAAAAAAAAAAAATCTCGTCCAACTTTGTTAATTTTTTTTTCTTGAATGAAGAAATTTCATTTTTTATTAATAACTTTTTTATTTCAAACCGTATCGAGTAGAAATTTGGACAAAATGTAGATCTTACTAATGACAATTAATCCATGAAAAACATTTGTTTAACTTTTAACGTACAGGGGGCGCTGATGATAATTTAATTTAAAATTTAACAATTTTTAATCAAACAAGCAACTGTTTTATAAATTTAAGTATAATACGTTGAAGTATTGATATTTTACTATTATTTGATATATTAACTTTTTTATGCAAATTATGTTTCTGTGGCCAGGATCAGTTTTGAATTAGCAGTAGCAGAATTCATAAATATTTAGTTTAGTACCTACATTTTGTCATTTTTATACAAATATTGTTGTATCTTTTATTATTAATTAAGTATAGCATATCACATAAATGACGTTTAATATACAGGGTGTTTCACGTACTTAGTCCGTTAGAAGTTTCTAGGGAATAGCGAAGACATCGATTTGAAAATTTAATAGCGTAAATTATTCGATTTAGACTTTTTTCCCAAATTATTTTGAACAAAATAATACTTCCTGTTTTACCGGAAATGCCTTTAACTTTGTTATTATAAAGAGAACACCTCATATATTTTTACATTTTTGAATTCTACATAAAATTCTGAGTAAAATCCAATATTTTTCGAGTTTTTTAAATCAAATATTTTAATTAAATTTAAACAATGACAGATTAAGTGGTAACCATGGATACTGTCACATTAACCCACATATAGAATTTCACAGGTTTGTTGATACAAAATACTATTGAAAATATTAGAAATTGTTAAATGTCTCTTTAGAAAACAATTATTATAATACCAATCAAAAGATTCTTTAATTTTCTATTTGATTATGTTAAAACATCAGGGTTTTGCATTTATAATAAAAACGTTATTATTGTTTGAAGTTTGCCTAATTTCAAATGGTTTTCCTCAAGCTATTTGTTGAAATACCTACATTTAAAAAATTAAATTATTTAAACAATGTTTTGAATATTCCAAAAATTCCAACCCCATGTCAGAAAACATAATAACAAAAAATTAGAGGTTATTTTTGATTGACGTGCATTTATCAAAATTTTAAAGAAAAAAATTAATATCTTGAAAACTATTAACTTTAGGTATAGTCTAAATCAAATTGTATACGCTATTAAAATTTCAAATCCATATTATTTGCGTTTTTTCAGAAACCTGTATAGCATTATATTAAATATAAAAAAAGCAAATTAACTAATTAAAAAAACAAAAAATAACTGACTTAAAAATATACAAATATCTAAAAAATAAAGTCTTTATTCTAATTTATTTATTGGGTAAATATTACTTTCCTCAGTTTGGAATTAAAATTTAAGCTTGCTTATCGAGTAAAAAATAAATTGAAGCTTGGTTGTGGAGCAAAAAATAAAATTAAAGTAGGTTATAATTTTTAACTTGCTGACACTGTCTATAATTATTATTTAGTTTATTCATTTTAATAAATTAATGTTTTGAGTTTTTAGTACACTTATAAATTGAAACGCTGAACTTTCATATTATCTTTCATGCTTTCAATGGTAGGTTACCATACGGCCATTCCAAGCCCATGGACAGGACACATCAGAAACATGTCTAAATATATTCTTGTTACTTCCTTAAGTTTACTTATTTTTTCTACGAGTATTTATGAGAAGTATTAGCCAAATTTGGCTAATACTTCTCATAAATACTCGTAGAAAAAATAAGTAAACTTAAGGAAGTAACAAGAATATATTTAGACATGTTTCTGATGTGTCCTGTCCATGGGCTTGGAATGGCCGCATAGAGAAAAGTCTATGATGCCTACCATGATCAAAATTAGTTAACTTCAAAAAATTTTATATTTTTAAATAAAACTAATTTTAGCTCTATCTATGGCGATTTAAAAAAATAAATATGTAAGAATTGTATGTTATATATAATATATTATATGTAATATATAAAACATTATCTTATAAAACTATACAAAAGAATATATACTTTGTAAAACACGTTAGTATTATGCCCTTTGAATGCATAACTTAAAAATGATGTCTCTTAGAGAAACATAATTTGGATGTGGAAGTTTATATATCAAATAATAGTTAATTATTAGTACTTTAACGTGATATACTCAAAATTATAGAACAACGTTGCTTCTTCGATTTTTTCTCCCTTAAAAAATTTTAAAAATTTTAAATTAAATTGTCCCCAGCGCTCCCTGTATGTTAAAATCCAAAAAAAAATATTACGTGGATTTATTGCCATTAATAAGGTCTACATTTTATGTTAATTTCAAGTTTTAGAGCCAATACAGCGTTGTCACTTTGTGCACATTTCCCCAAATCTGGAAAAAATCTACGTTCTCACCTAAATTAAGTTCTGCGGCAAAACAGACGGGGTAAATGATAAGGGCGATGAGTATTGCAGCCACTGCAACAAAAATAAATAATTAAAAAAAAATGTTTTAATTCGTGTTTTTTTTTACTCACGTGCAAGACCCATCACTATGACGGCAAACCTGTAGTACTTGTATTTGGTGTGATGTTCTTTTGTTCTAAGGCCTAGACCTGTCAAAACTGTAGCTACTAGATCTGTTAGGAGGGTAACAACGCATAGAGCCGCAGCTGCCTTGATGTAAGCTAAAAATATTGTTTTTTTTTTTAATTTTAATATTTTTATAGTTTTTATGTATATTTTTTACTTCTGACACTGAAAAATTGGTGTTTAGGCACCATATTTCATTATTAATCATTCGTTTAATCAAATCTTATATACATATTTTGTAGTGTTAAAAGTAAAAAAAAATATTCGATTTTTTTGAATCACAAGTAGTTTTTCAGTTATTAAGCATCGGTATTAATACACATTGTAATTAACAAATTAATAATTTTAATTAAAATAAAAAAAAAATAACTATCGTGAAAAAATAGTTATTTATGTATCAAGGCACTAAAGTCGAATTTTTTTTTCACGAATGTGGAAATAACCACGTGAGTGATAAAAAATGACTTTAATGCCGAGGTGCCTATTAAATTTTATCTGAAATCACATTTAATAATATTAATAAGAAAAAATATAATTAATAAAATTAACTTATTATTTTTAATAGACAACATTTTATGAAAGGGTCCAATCGACCTCCGCGCTTTTTTTAAATATAATTTAGTTGCTGCTGAGGAGCAGTAGACAAATCTTAAAATGTATAATGGGTTGCATACAATACTCGTATTAAATCGGCAGTAAAGTTTTACTTTACTGTCGATTTTTTTTTACTTCACTGCCGATTTCGGATAAAATATTTTTTTTATACTTAAAATAATCCTCATACAGTGTGGTTAGTGTGCCCTGCATAAATAAGTTTTGTCAAAATTTGTATGTTAATAAGTACCTACTATCATTTTTTGAACCCCCTGTATAATTATGTAAAATAAATAATTGTTGGAGAAATTGTTAAAAAACAAATACTTAATTGCCCATACTAAATAAAAAACGATTAAAGCCAATGAAATAAACTAAAAAAAAATTTTTTTAATCAATTGAAGACAAAAGTATCAAGTTTTGTAAACTCCATTTTAGTTACGATTTTTATTAGGCACGAGCGAAGCATTAGAGCTGGTGTTTATTAAAAACAAGAGTCTAGAGAAAAAAGAAAACAAAAAAAAACAACAAAAAATAAAAAATATAAAATTTTCTGTTTCTTAATTTGGCTGCACGAAATTTGAAAAGACAATTTTAAAAAGTATGTACTATGCTCCACACCTCAAAGTCCCACCACGTGACCACGTACGGAACGCAGTCTTTTAAAAATTTGGCATTTAAGGCTTTTCAGGTTATGTATCTGTCAAAGTATAGTCAACGAAAGAATAAATCTTTATAACATTACAATAACAATGGATGGTTTAAGAATTTAAGAATATAAATACTGCATTTAATGAAATTCTAAAGTATATGGTGCCAAATAAGTAATATTTTTGTGTATTTGGTCCAAATATCTTGTTTTCTCCATAAAATAATTTTAACTAAAGCATTTATTAAAAAAATCTAGCTTCTCTATTATGGAATAAGAATATCTGTATTAAAGGTAGGTTAATATATTATAACAAAAATATCACCTAATTTTGTAATTTTAAGGTTAGAAAAATTTATTTTGACCAAAATAAATAAGTATTTTGGATTATTTAAAAGACAGTATAATATGGTATTTAAAAATGTGGTAGTTTTTCTTATCCAGCTTAAAGTGTACCTACATAAAGTTTTGTCAATACAAATAGTTAAAAAGCTTCGACTGAATTTGATCTACATCAAAAAATCATTATAACTTTAATATTTTAATAAATCACATGTCATGGGAGTATTAAATATTTTCACATTGCAAGTTTCTCTAAAAAATTGTTTGTTTTTTTATAATCTAACTTAAAGTAGGTATGCCGAGGGGTATGCACAAGTTTTGTCGTTATAAAAGCTTCAATTTAATTTGAACTATATTCAACAATTATTTAGTATACCAATATTTATTTATGACCATATTAACACACTCTTCCAAATAATCTAATGTTCTAATACATTAACCTACCTTTGATACAGATATTCTTATTTCATAATAGAGAAGTTAGATTTTTTTAATAAATCCTGTTTAGTTAAAACTATTTTATGGAGAAATGTAGACCCAATGCACAAAAATATCACTTATATTGCACCTTACACTTTGGAATTTCATTAAATGCAGTATATATATTCCTAAATTCTTAAACCAACCATTGTTATTGTGATACTATAAAGATTTATTAACTTTTAACGCTAAACATAAGCGGTAACACTATAAATATTATTTCTTTAATTGACTATACTTTGACAGATACATAACCTGAAAAGCCTTAAATGCCAAATTTTTAAAAGACTGCGTTCCGTACGTGGTCACGTGGTGGGACTTTGAGGTGTGGAGCATAGTACTAACTAAAAAATTTGTTTTTGTGATTTTCATAAAATTATACTGCAATAATCAATTTCTAATTTGATATCACAACACAATATTTTTTTAGAAATTCTTAATGAAGATTTTAAGATTTATAAGATTTAAACATGAACAATAAATACCTGCATCTCTGGACTGGTAGCATCCAGGGCCGTCCTGGGTGTTGAATGGAAGGGGCTGTGGGGCATCTTCTTCAATGCAGTGCATGAAAAGCCCCTGTCTCCAGCCGGCTGCCATTAGCCAGTCTGTAGAGGCCAGCCCCATTATCATCAATATTATTACTATTAGTCCGCATATAAAAGCTATGACCTGGAAAAAAAATTGTATTTTAATTTTTTTATTGTTTAATTATTTTATTACTAATGAAACTTGGTAAGTATTTTCTTCGGGCGAAAACTTATTCGAACACATTCAATCCAATCAAAATTCAATTTCAAGTTTTCCATTCACAAGTCAAAACTTTTTTGATTTAGATTTTGTTTCTCATTTCTTACACGTAGACATGCCATATATTTGCGATTTTCTATTTACACGCAGTAAAACATTGCACATAAACTAAGTTTTGTATATTTTTTAGTTTCTTTGATAAAAAGTTTTAATTGACAATTGAAATCGAGTTTCAACCACTTTTTAAACTTGCTACAGCTACATAATTAAATCTTGTTAGAGCTAGAACCAAAGCTTAATTATATTTTACAGCATTGCTTTTAATATTGAGATAAATGCACTCCGCATTATGCAGGCAAAGTTAAATAATTTATGCTCATTACTTTCAGCTTAATACGGTTTTAAAGGGTAATTTGGCGCTGTTAAAAATTCATGAAACCCTCGTCTCGACTTATGAAACTTTTAATGGTTTTTGAATTAGATATTTTTTATTTTTGATCAATCGTTTTTTATTTTTGCAATCTTGTGAGAAAAAAAATTTGCTAAACAGCACCATAAATTTTAAAAATTGACGTAAAATTTTGTTCAACGTTTATTGGGTAGTAAAATTTTTACTGCTTATTCAATGAGATTTATTTTTGATCTGGACGACATATTTTTATTTATACGTAGTTTGGACAATGTAATTTTATTTATTGTGTTTGGTAGCAATTGAAGTTGTATTTGGGGTAGGATGGTATCGCATTTAGAGGTAATTACGACTCTTGGGGGAGCTGTTAGGATTTGTACAATATGTGTAACGTACCTATATGTTATTGGGTCGTATTTTACATGCTTGAAATAGATTGAAAGGAGGGTCAAATCTAATTTAAATAATGGAATGAAACTAAAAGAAATGCAAATATAATCAGTTAAATTTCCTGACTAATTTTCTTCTCACAGTAGCTGGTTATTCTCTCGACATGTTTAGGTTTTATGCACATGAGTGACATAAAATTTACAAGCTTCATATTCAATAAGATTGATGTCGGTCGTAAAAGGAAACGGTTTTCCGAAATTGCTGGGAATCGAAAAATTCTTTTCTGCCCTCCTAAACGTTGTGGTATCTGTGGAGCAGACATTTTCAGGCTTTAGTCGTTTTTATGGTTTGTTTCTCGGGTAAAGTGATTCATGAGGTAATACGTGTCGATGATCGGTATGTATCACATAAAAGATTTTTATTTTATCAATGAGTAAACCTCAATGCCATCGTTTATTGTGTTGGTAAATTGAATTGCCTATGGTATACGAACGATAATTTATTTGTAAATAAATAGATTTATGTTTAGTTTGACCTATTTTACTACGACTATGACTGCTTTCCTAGGATGCTTTAGTTTTAGTGAACTTTAGACTGTTTAGAACTTTTTTGCACCTTTATAAATATAAATATATATATATATATCATGTTAATTATCATCGTAAACATTTAAATTCAAGCCATTTATTTTTATGTTGGCACACTGTATACACTTAAATTAAGTAGCAAACCGAGGCAGACACAAAGCTTCAGCTTCAGAGTTTCTAGCGCGTGCACAATGTTTAACAGTGGGCCCAAAAATTATTTTAACCTAACGTTTATACTTTAAATTGCGATATCTTCGAAACTAATATCTCTCCATTAAATATGTTTGTTATAAAAAAATATAAAGAATTTAATTTTTAACAATCCTCTTGAAAATTAAATTGTAGAGAATTTAATATTGTATATATATTTTTCATTAATATTTTTTTTGTACAATAATGGGGTAGTTAAATTTTTTCTGACCTATACTTTTTATGGTTTTATTCAAGGCGTTTTGTAATTTTAAACATTTCTGTGAAATAGGAATTTCAATTGGATTTACCGTTTTCGAGATATTTACAAAAAAAAATCTCCTAATTACGTCACTAGGCTATTGACAACGTTGCCAGCTCTATGGTTGCCAGTGTGTTTAGTTTAAGATTCTTACGATAGATGGCGCCACGTTATAATATTTTAGTTTTAAAACCACTTGAAAGAAGAAGAATTGATTTTTTGACGTTTCTTTCTTTCGGGTTATGTTTTTTTTAAATTTAGATTATTGAAAATCAATGTTATTGTTATGTTATTTGTAATTGATATTAGATAAGTGATTTATTAATAACGGACTCCAAAGCAGAGGAATCTTGTGGAATGGTTGGTTACATTGAACATTGGAGCTTTTAAACAAATAAAGTAAGTACCTATAATTATAACCATATTTTGTCGTAAATGCATTTTATTAGTATAATGCCTAGTTCTTTATATTCTTTTAGATATATCTTGGACTCTAAAATATCAAACAGTAATATGATACCTCGTAATAAGGAAGATAGGTACTTAATGAATTTGGTGACCATCTTTCACTCAACTGACAGTGACAGTATTTGTACATAACCTCTCGGGTATTTTCTGACATAACCGAATGAAATCATTAACAAGACAACTTGACAACAGGGTAATTTTCAACCAATAGAAATCTTAGAATGTTGGTCACATGGCGAGGTTTGTGACGTCATAAAAATTTATATTTTTTGTAAATATCTCGAAAACGGTAAACTCAATTGAAATTCTGATTTCACAGAAATGTTTAATATTACAAAACGCCTTGAATAAAACCATAAAAAGTATAGGTCAGAAAAAATTTAACTACCCCATTGTTTCCAAATATATGGCTGGAAGTTTATAGGTTCCCATCGTGCATTGCACAAGTGGCTTCGTTGTAATTTATTCGGTCTTGCGGCAGCCGAATTGAAGACTGCTCGTAGAGTTTTCCGCGACAAAGGCTTTTCCCGCAAATTAATTGCTTTTCAGTAATTCCGACGCAGCACGTCACCCTCTGTAACGCTAAGAAGTAAGAAGACGACTTTGTTAGCAGAACAGAGCATCAACGAGGCAAGAGCGTTTCTCAAGTTGTTTGGAAACTTGAAATACAAATTGGAAGTGTGTTTTATAGATACTAATAAAATACACTACACATTCGAAAATTTTACTAAAAATCTAAAGCTGAAACTCCTTTAAAGTCAGCCCCGAAACCTCGAGAAATAAAGTGTAAAATTTGGTATGGAGTCCTTTACATTTTAATCTAAACTTACTGTAAATAAAATATTGTTTACAGGGTGCGACTTTTTTTCGATAACCTTTTGTGTATCACCCTGTATAATTTAAATGATCAAAAGTTTTATGTCACTGCCACTGTCTACTGTCTACTAGACAGTTATCGGACACTTTATAGTTATTGGACAATTAACATTAATACTGTAAAAACAACACATCTATAAATATTTACCTTAGTATATAGAACTACTTTATTTTGGGTCCAATATAGGACAAAAAAGTTCGCACTTTACTTTGGTGGTAAGATTTTTGTTTTTTTGTTAAGAGCAGGGCTGTGTTTAAATTACAATAAAAAATATTTTTAAAAGTGTACAGATCAGTGTGTGGTATAAATGTGTTCCTCGTGGTTTAAAAATTGTCACTTTAATGCGTTTTAATTTTAATTCTGAAAACAAACAGTAAAATGGCCAGTGTCCTATTACTGCTTGAATCCAAAAAGACCAAAAACTATGAAATTTAAGCAGTTTTTGAGATATAGTTAATTCCATATTATATGTAAAATTGATTATATTTTAAAAACTGTTCTACTTTTATAACTTTTGACGACATTCGGATTCAGCGAATAATATTTCATAGGAATTGACTGCTAAATGTCCTGGATACAAATTGCTGTTGACGAGAATTATTAGTGGCTGCTTTATCGCCATGAAATTTTTGACTAATTCATTTTGAGAGAGTAAGTAATCTAGTGATTTCTTCGTCACAGGACATCTTGCAGAATACTAGTGATTTAATACAGTGCCTGATAGAGAACATGCAACAAAATTAATAAATTCGAAAAATACTTTAACATATCACCCGAAAAAATATTAGATATATATAAATCATCCTGTACCGGCCTAAACAAATTCTTCACAAACTAAAGATACCACACTTAATGATATTTGCAACAAACTATTTCAGAAGTCAGACCAAGGAATTAGTAGTTACCTTCAGAATCCAGAAAAGGGATGAGGAATCCGAGAAAGAAATATATGAATTATATGATATTTACAAAAACGAAATAAAAAAAATTGTTGTTATGCTTATATAAAAATTGTATGTCCAATAACTATGGTCCATGTGTCCAATTACTATATAAAATGTCCAATTACTATACTTTTTTGCATGTTTTTATAAAACTAATATTAAAAATTCAAATATTCTTATTTTTAAGTAAACGTATGAAAGTTTAAACAAAAAACTATCCTTTTTATATATTCATAAGAAAAAACTAAAATCTTTAAAACAACGGCATATATAAATATTAAATAAATAATATTCCTTAAGTGTCCAATAACTATGTGGTTTACCCTGTACACATTTGGTTTAATAAAATGATTTTTTATTTTATTTGCTGAAAACAAATTTTATATATTTTTATAAACGTAATTTAGATTAAAGCGTTTAACACAAAACAACAAGTGAATTGCAAAATATTTTAACAAAATAAACCATTTTACGTGACAATTACATAAAAGTCTATAAATTGCAAAATGTATGTGACAGATTTCATAAAAAGTTTTATTTTTATTAATTAATGTGAACATATTGTATTTATTTGAAAAAAAAAACATTAAAATCTGATTTAAACATTTCGATAACTTTTTAAAACTATATATACCTTTCTGTATCTTTGATTTTGGGCCGCCAATCTAACCTCAAACTGATGCATCCCGACAGCACAAAAACTAAACAATCCGCAATCAAAACACCTGAACAACTAACAAACACGTACACAAATACACAATGACTAATACACTGATTTTCCTTTAACTCACACACA